TTTGAAACCCACCAATGAACGGCACCGAAAAAAAGAGACTCAGGAATGTTTTTTACAGTTACGACCCTTTGCAACATCCCTACGATCACATGATCAAAGTTCAGATGCTTAGCAACCGGTTTCCTATTTATAACGGTTTCAGAGTCCCACCCAGGAGTCACATAATCCCCTTTTGTGACCTTCTCACAAGCAAAGCCCACGGGGGACCCCAGATTCGCTTAACAACCGTGTTAGTAATTTATCAACTGCAGCAAATCACTTAATAACCGTGGCAGGAAAAGTCGTAAAATGGGGCAAAGCTCGGTTAACAAACGTCTCATTTAAGAACAGAAATGTTGGGCTCAATTGTGGTCATAAGTTGAGGACTATCAGTATTGATACCAAGTCTATAAGTCACTCGAGTCCCGATTTACCGGAATAATTCAGGGCCAGCTACTTTTGCTCAGAATAATCACCTTCCCAGGGCATAAAAAGAAGGGAAGGACCTTCGTGTAAGCTGACTCAGGCTTTCTTAAGAAAACAGACACTCAGTAAGGGAATTAATGTGACTCTCCCACTCCTTCAATTTTACTCTCCTAGCCTGCAATTGCAGCTGACAACACCTGGATTCTCCAATTTGAAGATTTGATTTGGACTAATAACCTTTTGGCTTTGCACATTGGTTTGGTATTCATGTTTTTATTTTTTAAAAAAACATTTTTAAGCACCTTTTTTCATATATATATATATATATATATATATATATATATATATATATATATATATATATATATATATATATATATATATATGAATATATATATATATATATATTCTTACTTCTTGGTAGGATTTTCTGTGTGTTTTTCCTCTAGCCAGGTTTTTCCTACGTAACCAAGGTTTTTCTTGGTTTATATATATATAAAATACTGTTTCTATAATACTATAATACTTTATTATAGTATTATATATAATACTAATACAGTATTATAGTATTACATATAATACTAATACAGTATTATATATAATATAATACTGTTATATTAAACAGTTTCTAAATATTAAACAGTTTCTATTTAAAAAAAAAAAAAAAAGAACAGCATTTGGGGTGGTAGAATCATTGGTTCCCTGCAGGGGTGGGCTTCAAAAATTTTAGCAAGGGGTTCTCTGCCCAGTTGCTGGGTGGGCGTGGCCATGGTGGGTGTGGCCTAGTCAGCCTCCTGCACCACGGCGGGGGGGGGGTGTCGTTTTTGCCCTTCCCGGGCTCCGGAGGCTTTTTTTGAGCCTCCGGGAGGGCGAAAACAGCCTCCCCAGGCTCCGGAGGCCCTCTGGAGGCTGGAAATAAGCCCGTTTCCGGCCTTCCCAAACTTCCAGTAGGCCCATTTTTCACCCTCCCTGAGTCTCCTCCGCCCACGCCCTGCACTTACCTGCGTCCAAAATGGGCCGCGTGGGGACTCCTGGGAGGGACAGGGCCAGCGTGGGATTTGGGGGTTCTCCGAATTGCACAGAATCTTAGCTAGAGGTTCTGCCGAACCCCTGCGAGCCCTCAGCAGCCCACCCGCTGGTCCCCTGTAATATTGCCAATTCCAATATTAAACTTTTTTTTTAAAAAATCATATAGACGTGTATAAAATTAGAAGAATAATCTTTGCTAACTCCCGTTTAAAGTCTTTGCCCTTTGAGAGGACTCTGCTCTTACTTTTTTTTTTAACTCCCTGAAATTGCTGATTTCTTTTTTTTTCCCCTTTGAGAAAAAGCGATAAGAGCAATCAGCACACCCAATAAAGCATTATCAAACTATCATTCCATACGGCTTAACCTGGTCATTGACCTATACAGCTAAGTCCTCGACTTACAACCACAACTGAGCCTAAAATTTCTGTGGCTAAACGAGACATTTGTTGAGTAAAATTTGCCCCATTTTGTGACCTTTCTTGCCACGGTTGTTAAGCGAGTCACTGCCATTGTTAAGTGAGTAACACGGTTGTTAAATGAATCTGGCTTCCCCATTGACTTTGCTTGTCAGAAGGTCACAAAAGAGGATCACACGACCACAGGACACAGCAGCCGTCGTAAGTATGGGTCGGGTGCAAAGTGTCCCTGACGGGGGGGACTGTGCTGTACCCCGTGTGCCCCGTTTTGGGCCTAGGAGGCCTCCCTGCACTTACCTGGGAGCCAAAATGGGGCGCATGGGGACTCCTGGAAGGGTTGGGGAGGGGCAGGGCCAGCCAGCAATTTAACAACTGATTCAGCCGAACCGTCCCAAACCGGCTGAATCTCACCACTGCTTATAAGTGTGAAAAACAAACATAAGTCACTTTTTTCAGTGCCGCTATAACTTCAAACTGTTACTTAAAGGCAGTTTTGTAAGATTATGTGATGATGGTTGCAATGTTGGAAGATCTGAAGGGCCAAATTTGGAGCCCATCATCCTGGGTGAAAAATCCATCTGTGTGTTTGCTAAGAACAGCAACTCGATGGCCCACACTCCATCAAGTTCATCTTTTAAGATGGATTACAGTTTTTCAGTTCTGTATGGGGGTAAATGTGGATTTATTTGTGTTTTTTAATTGTGTTGTTATGGCCCTGTTTAATTCTTTTACTGATCTTATTAGGAGAAATAGAAAGACATTATTACTGCCTGCTGCACGATAAAAAGGGCAGTTAATTAAAATCATATGTAAAAGAAACAAGATTAAACAATGTATTTATTTATACAAATGAGAGGCCCTCCAAATAAAAATTATGGGTGGTTAAGAGAAAAAGAGGAGAGCCACTATAACATTTCCCTTTTTTTCTATATTTGTTGTATATCTCTATCTATATCTATCTATCTATCTCTCTATCTATCTATCTATCTATCTATCTATCTATCTATCTATATTTTTGTTGAGTGGGGAGGTGTTTTTCCTTTTAAATTTGTTTTTAATAGTTGTCGTATTTTTCCTTCTACCTTCACTCTGGCCTAAGCGTATTTTCTTTACAATAATGTATTCTTTTTCCTTTTCGGTTGTTTTGCTTTTGTTTGTTTCTTCTTGTTTTACCTAATTAATCATGCTCTCTACCGGGAGATTCCTCAAGATAGGAGAAAATTTTTAAAAAGTATCTGGAATTCCCTATTGTTGTGGCCCGCCAGCGGCCTTCGTGGATTGTTGCTGATCCCGACGACGAGGAGGCTGGTGTGGTGTCGCGCCAGCAGCCTGTGCAGCCGGCGCTCAAGTCAGACAGCGAGGAGGCTGAAGAAGATGTGGTGCCAGAGGCAGGGATTCAGCCAGGGCCTTCAGAACCTCCAGAAGCTCCCTTAAGTGAAGAGGACGCAGAGGAGGAGCCTCTTCTCTAGATGAAGCACAGAATCAGAATAGAATAGAGCTGGAAGGGACTTTGGAGGTCTTCTGATCCAACCCCCCCCCCCTCAAGCAGGAGACACTATACCATTTCAGACAAGTGCTTGTCCAGTCTCTTCTTAAAAACCTCCTATAATTTTCTTTATCAGTGTAGTTTGAATAGATCTTGGGACCGCAAGGGCAGCTGGAATCAATTTAGACTGAAGCTTGAAAGAATCTCAAGGTCTTTAACAGGACTGGAGGAGCTGTGAGGTGACCTTGGCTACAAAGATCTTGTGGGTTGGGAGTTGAAAGCTTTTGAGAAGCTTTACTGGGCAACCCTTGCCAGATATAACCACTGTTTCAAGGGGTCCTTGGTCCTTGGTGCTCTCTGACCTTGGTTGTTTTCTTGCAGATGGTTCATTACCCAAAAGAGATAACGTCATCAGTGATGATCAGAGCAGTGATGGCATTACCTAGTGTTGGAAGAAATATCCATCTGGTTCAGTTCCAAGCTGGGAAAAAGACACTGGAAACATGGAGCCTGGTTGGAAAAAATGGTTTATTGATGAAGCAGAACCACATGGTGGTTTGTGGTTCTGGGCAGCTGACCACATGGAGTTGAGCGTGAGGGGGTTTTATACCTTCTCTTGGGCTTTGCACTTGAGCTTCCTGTTCCTGTGCAAGAACATGTATTCTATTGGCTGTTGTCAGACTCCCATGGAGCTGTGGAGCTGGCTCTATAGGTTGTCTGAGCTAGGTTTGGTTGAAGTTTGGAGGGTGATGCAATGTCCTTAGGAGATTGTGCAATGCAGTGAGCTCTGCTGCTGGATGATAGTGGGTTAATCCTATTATGTCCTGAAGGGTCATATTTTAATCCCATCATCCTGGAGCTGAAGGTCTTTTGTTTTGTAGATAGGATGGCCCAGACTTTCTTAATAGGCACAAAATATCTGCTAGGGGCAGGGAGTTGGGCTCTGAGTTTCTGTCTCCCTTAAGATTTTAATTTCTCTTTTAGGGGAAATATTTTATCCTGCCTTTTTAAATATTTCTCAAAATATTTCATTCTTCTAGGAGAGGGGTCGTCGCTAACTTTCTACACTAGTTTGGTCATGAAACGCCTGCAAGAAAGCATCCAAGCTCAGAGAGCACCAAGGAACCCCAGATTTTAACCCTGAGCTACAAATATTCTCCTTCGCTGGAGAAAACAGTTCTCTCCAGCATTGCAAAATCTGGAAGAGCCCCCCCAGAGCATTTATAAGTTCACAACTCCTTGAGAACATTCACACTGATTCGCCAAACATGAATTGTAGGCTAATTTTGTGCATTGGCTTTTACTTTTCCGATCATCTACGACTAGTTTTTCCTTTGAGCAGAACGGAGACCAAAGTTAGCGGCCTGACACACAGCAGATGTTTCTTTTTAACTTACACAGCTTGCATCTTGATGCAATTTGATCCCATCACTCTCTCTCTCTCTCTCTCTCTCTCTCCCTCCCTCCTTCCCTCCCTCCCTCCCCCCTTGTCTAAAAACACTAAACCCAGAAGTTGTGAACTCACCATTGAGTGAGTCCCTGTTTCCTTTTTTGATTGAACTATTATTTACATTTCAATGTTGTTGTTGTTGTTTTAAAAAAAACATCCTTCGTTTCCTTTCTTTTTCTTTTTCTTTTTCTTTTTACACCCTTCCCCTTTTCAGCCTGACTGTTTTTTATGAGCCCTACCATGTTTCTGACTACCACAAACTTCATTTTTGTAACCTTCAGCTGCATCGGGAGGCGAAGCTCCCTTGTTTACGCTTTGAAGTGAAAACTTCGAAGTTTTTCAACTCAATTCTTTTAAAAAAAAAAAAACAGTTCAATTGGAGTATATTACTCAGAGCAATTGCTTACTCATAGGACTGTTGCCCAGCCTGAAACTAACACAGACTTCCTCCGATTTGATTCTTGCTGTGCTTGTCAGTTGCAATTTCTTCTCAAACGTCCACATTTGTTGTTGGGGTTACCTCCACCCACTTCAGACTCCAAAGACAAGACTTGTATGATATAAACACCACTGGGGCCAAGGAAAAGCTGGACCATCTCTAGTCCCTCATAGGTAAGTGACCAGATTTTAACATTGGTAAAGCGGGACACCATTGACCGGGGGGGGGGGGGTCTTTTTTTTTTTTTTTTTAAAAATTTTTTTTTTTCCAACATAACACATAAAATACATCTCTTTCGAGAGCGAAGTCTCGATACAATCGAGGTACAAGGTACAATCACTTACATTTTAAAAAAGCTCCATTCACAATTTCCCATTATATCTTTTAAAATTCAAAGTCAAAACATAGAAAAAATTTTAGTCTAATAAACTCTAATATCTTGATCAGAACCATTCTATTATATCACCACCAATTTAATTTCCAAGTACACATTTAATTCATTGTTATGTTCATTTATAAGTTCAATTATCTCTGGTTCTTTTCCAAGTTCTCTTCATTACACCTTTTAACATCAATATTAAAACATTAAAAAAAGAAAAAAAAATATTCTAATCTCTTAGTCTAATTATTTACCTTACAATTTCTAACCACACATCGTAGTTTCAACTTAGATACAGCTCTATTTTTTATTTCAAATAATAAATCAAAATTCAGTCCATATGTCTTAATCTCTTGACCCCTTCATCAGATCTTTAACCCTTAAAGCTTTGTCAATTTGCCTTTAGTTTTGCATATTTCATGTTCTCAAATTTATCTCAAAATCCCTATCCTCCTCCCTATCTCCTCCTAATTGGCTGATTTCCAGCATTTTATTGTTTGGCTGATTAACAGCATATCCTCCTCCATACCTCCAACTTTTGTTTGGCTGATTTTCAGCATGCTTTATTTTGGCTGATTCCTAGCATAGTCACCTCCATACCTCCCCCCGTTGTTGGCTAAAGTCCAACGTATTATATTTGGCTGATTTCCAGCATCGTCTCCTCCATAACTTCCATTATTATTGGGCTGATTTCCAGCATATTTTATTTTGGCTAGTTTCCATTTTAATTAGTTCACATATAACATAAATTGCCTTTTCATTGCCACAACTTTAACTCAGCATAGTTTTTAACAAATATCTTCTCATCCATTTTCTCCTAGGTTGTAAATTCCCTTTAAAATAATCTACTTCATATTTATTTTAAATCTCAAAAATTCATTTAAGCATTTAGAACATTTCAAAAGGTCTTATACTCACTCAATCATTTATAGTCTCATTTCATAACTAAGTATGAAAGAGAAGGTGAAAGAGAAAAAGAAAGAAGAGCAAAAACAAGGAAGCAAAGAAGAAGAGAGGAGGGAAGACAAAAATAGAAAAGAACAAAGAAAGTATCAAAAAGAAAAAAAGAAAGAAGAAAAAACAAAAAAACTGAAAAGTAACAAAGGGGAACAAACAAAACTACAACACACATATATATATATATATATATTTGCTTATGTAAGTTTTCACGGGTATATATGTGTGTACAGTTAATAATAGCTCGGGTTTCTTCCCATGTAATTGTAAACATATCCTTAAAAGGGTAGTAGCGACGTTTCGACGAAATCACATTTCGTCGAAACGTCACTACTACCCTTTTAAGGATATGTTTACAATTACACGGGAAGAAACCCGAGATTTAATTTTAATTTTAATTTAATTTAATTTCCAATTTATATACCGCCCTTCTCCCTGAGGACTCAGGGCGGTGTACAGCCAAGATAAAAAACATAGAATACAAATATTATTAGATATTAACTGTACACACACACACGCGCACACACACACATATACACACATAATTCTTCGTATCAGTATTGAGACTTCAGATATTCATTACATTTCTAATTTAATCAAACTGTGTTATTTTTCTTGTCTCATAACCTGCTGCATTCCATTTAATCTTTTTTCCATCTGTCCAAAATTGTTCTTTTTCATTTTCAATATTACCACTGTTAAGAATTTTATAAAGTTTGATTCGTTTATATCCTTCCATGTATGATCAATTCTTCTTTTAGTGCCACGCCTTTTTCCTTTTGTTGCTGCGCCTATAAATCGAATTATAATTATCCATTTTATTTCTTCTTTCTTTCCGTCAATAAAGTTTCCGACAGACAAATTGAGTCTCTCCAAAATCAGAGCTTCTTATTTGTTGCCAAAGTAGTCCAGTTAGGTTAATGAGACACACAGTTTCTCTTCCAGATTGCTAACAAGCCACAGTTATACTTTCACTTCCTCACAGTCTCCATTTTGTGTATTCCAAGCCCATCCGCTTGTCTTTTTTCTTTGTTTAAAAAGGTCCCGCTTATCAACTCTTTCCTTTTCTCTCTTCCGAGAATAATCCATTCCCATTTGGTAAAAAGAAACAGTTTTTCAAAGTTTATAGCTCCCCAAAAGAGCAGTCATTCCCAATTAGCAATAAAGTCTGCAAACCTTTATAAAGTTAATGGGTCTTTCCCTTTTAAAAACCATTTTGTAAATCTTCTTGCCCCAATCCTCTGTAGCTGCTAATTAAGGCTGGGGCACATTTGTAAACCACAATTTAAGCGCTGTTCCCGCCTGGGTTTAGTCTTGCTTACCCAGCTTCCAAACAACTCGCTCTCCCATTCTCTTCTTCCTCCTGCACAGTGCTTTCTCCGGTTCGCGCGGGCTTCGAGGCAGTCGCCATGACTGCCACTCCCCCGCCGCCGGCTCAGAGGGCTTCCTCCGGCCCCAAGGGACCTGCCCGTCCCTCTCGGCCGTCCAAGGGGTCCCTCTCTCTTCCCCTGTCCCTACAGGACAGGGTAGGTCCGTAGTCCAAAAATCGGGACTTTTTAAAAATGCCGCGGGATGCGGGACAAATTGTTAAAAATCGGGACTGTCCCGCCAAAAGCGGGACGTCTGGTCACGTTGCTCATAGGACACCCAGAACTGACCAGCATCATTCTGGGTAATTCTTAGATGTTTGGTTTCAGTTTCAGTTTCAGTTTATTTAGATTTATATACCGCCCTACTTCCAAAGGACTCAGGGCAGTGAACAGCCAAGATAAAACACATATAATATAAAATTTAAAAAAACAATTTAAAACGTTTAGATAAATATGGCCCATGCTAATTAAAATACCCCCGTTTTTTAAAAAACGAATTAAAATTAAACAATTAAAAAGAGTTAAGCCAGTTCCTTGCTGGACTTCCATAAACTTCGTGGTTTCCTACCCAAGATTGCCACGCCTGGGCTCAACCCAGAGACAACTGCAGTGTAAACTAAACAATAAAACCGGTTTAGTAGCTTCTCCTGTTTTGTTTTGAAAAATCAGCGCCGATGTTCCAGAAAGGAAAACAAAATCATTTTCCGATGCTGAAATCTGGACTTTGCATCACTCTCTCTCTATCACATGCTATTTGCTTTACTGGAGAAAACAGAAAGAGAGGCATTGAGAGCTGGATAATCTGGAATGTTGTTTCGACTGACTTGGACTGCTCTTTCACCTTTGTGACATCGGCATAGTTGGACTCTCACCTGGTTGATGGGATTAATTTGTTCCTGAGATTATTCTCTTGGCAACGTCGCGAGTCTGAAGAAGGACATGGCCTCCGTTTCTTACGTCCTACGAGCCTGGGTTTTTCTCTTCCTTCATGGTACGTATTGTGGTTTGAGACCTGGACACCCTTTCCTGGAACTGAGCAACCTAAAGAAAGGATGTTCTCATTTGTGTTACTCTCGAGATGAGTTCTCATGACTTCAGTGGTCTGGTGAGTACAGAAAAAGTGGAAGGACTCATCTGGGTAGATTTGACCCACAATGTAGCAATTAACAATGAGATTTCTTTCCTGGGCACCTGCTGAAATATTGCATGATGTGACACTTTTCTGTCACTTTCATTTCCTTTTCTTAGTTCTGCAGGACCTCCTGATCCGGGGGACCATGGGAAAAAAAATCTTGTTTAGATGCACTCCAAGGGACAAAGCAGAAATGCATGGGGTTTTGGGAAATGTAGTTCCCTTCTCTGCCATATTACTAAAAGTTCCCCTCGCACATATGTGCTAGTCATTCCCGACTCTAGGGGGTGGTGCTCATCTCCATTTCAAAGCCGAATAGCCAGCTCTGTCCGAAGACGTCTCTGTGGTCATGTGGCCGGCATGACTCAATGCCAAAGGTGCACGGAACGCTGTTACCTTCCCACCAAAGATAGTCCCTATTTTTCTACCTGCATTTTTACGTGCTTTAGAACTGCTAGGTTGGCAGAAGCTGGGACAAGTAACGGGAGCTCAGCCCGTTACGCAGCACCAGGGATTCGAACCGCTGAACTGCCGACCTTTCAATCTACAAGCTCAGCATCTTAGCACTGAGCCACTGTTTCCCACCATCTGGGATATTACTGTATTGTTAATATAAGATGAAACCAATCATAGCCAATCAGAACCCTCTGGGCCATGAGATTGTTAGGACTAATTGATCCCATTTTGAAGTAAAGGGATGTAAATTATCTCTTAATGATATTAAGTCCAGCGTCTAATAATTAGAACTGGAGGGGATCCAACCAACACTTGCTAATTTTTGCATATAGTTATAGCACGGCTAGGCTCAATCATTAGGTGAGATCTAATGGCTAATTACAGTACTGATACTGTATTGCAGAGGTCTTCAAACTTGGCAGCTTTAAGACTTGTGGACCTCAACTCCCAGAATTCTCCAGCCAGCATAGCTGGCTGGAGAATTCTAGGAGTTAAAGTCTACAAGTCTTAAAGCTGCCAAGTTTGAAGACCTCTGCAATACAGTATCAGCAAACTGCGGACTATTTGATGCATTAATATGGTATTTGCCACTGCCAAGAAAGGAAACTTGAGAGAAACTCTCATGCAATGTTTTGCCTTGACTGCTACAATAAGGTGACCAACCTTGACCGCTGAATATCTTGAGCGTGGAGCAGCATCCACTATTCCACTCACAGTTTGTTTTGAAAACTTTTCTTTTTTTTTCTACGCTAAAACTTTCCCCATGTTAAGAGGTGTTCGTCTCCAGATTGCAATTGACCCAATATCCTGCTCAGGAGAAATGATGTTCAAATGTTGCGGTCACAAACTAGGTCAGATCAAAGAGAGCAGCATAGATTCAAACACACCAAAGCATTAAATGTGCAAAATGTATATTTTTCTTTAATTTTTTTTTTTTTTAATTTGATTTATATGCCGCCCTTCTCCGGAGACTCAGGGCGGCTCACAGTGCATTAAGTAATAGCCTTCATACTTTTGTATATTTTATACAAAGTCAGCTTATTGCCCCCACAAACTGGGTCCTCAATTTACCTACCTTAGAAAGGATGGAAGGCTGGATCAACCTTGAGCCTGGCAAGAGTCGAACTTACTTTAATTGCAGACAGCTGGTGTTAAATTACAATGCTTTTAGTCTGCAGAGCTATCCAGGCTCATTTAGTGTGACTTTTTTTTTAAAAAAAGCAGGAAGTGCTTCCGATCCTTTTATTTACGGAGATGCAGGAGGAAATGGATGTGTGGTTTCCCCATCCAATGTTTTGACAAAAGGGGAAAAATGAAAAAGTCAGCATTGTGAATTACTTGATGGATGGATGGATATTCAAACTCCCAGGCCATTTAAAGAAAGCTTCCTTGAATAAAAGTTTTTTTTTCCTTTCACCCTAGGCTGCATCACAGGGTATCCTAAGCAAGCACGCTCTGTGTCAGAAGACACAAGAAACTGTACAACTAAGCCACCGGTGAGTTCCTGAACCTTGCCCCAAATGTGTGATCTGATAATATGTTAGAACGGCTTCTCCAAATAATAAAGTTTGGGCAACTTCCGATGCCTGAGCAAAGCCCCATCCTTCCTAGTCAGAAGAGACAATCCAGTTCCACTTTTGCAGCCCCCAAGTCCTTCAGGATCACGCCAATGAAATTTTTGAGAGCCAAATCTCTGTTTTCCCCCACCGTCTCTCTCCGTTTCTTCCTTTTTGTGGTTTACGTCATAAAAAGATGTGCTGGACCTGTAAAAGAAAGTTTACCAGGGATTGCCAGGGATGTCCACAGACAGATGGGCAGAAAAGTGGAGATGACAACCAAAACCATCCAATTGATGCCCTGTGCTCATCTTTGGTTTATGGCTGTCTACAGTGGTGGGATTCAGCCAGTTCGCACCTATTCGGGAGAACCCGTGGTTAACTTTCTAATCAGTTCGGAGAACCGGATGTTGGAAGAAATCTTATTTTGTTTTTTTTTCCACTTTACAGGGCTAATCCTGTAAGGAAGGCAGGAAGAAAACATTCTGCTGTTGTTTCTAGCCTAATCTTTATTGCCCTGCTTACAGAAACTGCCTCTCTGGTTAGCCCTTATTACATTGTAACAGTGAGTGACGTTGAGTTGGCCACGCCAACACAGTCACATGACCACCAAGCCACGTCTACCCAGAGGGTCATTAGGGCAGAGAACCGGTTGTTACATTATATGAATCCCACCACTGGCTGTCTAGGAAGGAAGGAAAGGAAGGGAGGGAGAGAGGAAGGGAGGGAGGGAGGGAGGGAGGGAGGGAGGGAGGGAGGAAGGAAGGAAGGAAGGAAGGAAGGAAGGAAGGAAGGAAGGAAGGAAGGAAGGATTAGCAATAGCACTTATATACTGCTTCATAGTGCTTTTGAAAGCACTCTGTAAGCGGTTTATAGAGTCAGCCACCTGCCTCAGCTGAAGAGGTGGTAGAAAAAATGCTTTGAAAAGCCTCTGACGATCCCAGCTGAGTTGCCTGATGGGCAGAGGCTTTTCAAAGCATTGTTTTCTGCAACCTTTTAAGGTTGTAGAAAAAAATGCTTTAAAAAGTTTTTTTTTAAAAAAAAGTTGGCCATGCCCACCAGTCACATTACTCCACCCCACCAAGCCACGCCCACAAAATAAGCCACGCCCACAGAACCGGTAGTAAAAAAAAATTAGAACCCACCCCTGTGCTGATTGTACACAAAAGTAACTGTACAAATGCTAACCTCTTTAATCCTTTTGCTCCTCTCTTTCCTCTCCTAAACCCTTTGCCGCCCTGTTTTTCTATGCTGTAAGTACTTGCCACCCACGGCGATTGTGACGGGCGAGAGGCTGAAGGCCTTACGTGAGCACATGAAAACCTACAAGCTGTCAGCCTATATTGTGCCTAACACAGATGCACACCTGGTAAGTCAAAGAAGACAGGAACAGGTCAGTAGTGGGATTCAAATCCCGTCGCTACCAGTTCGCTCATGGGTGCATGCCAGTGGTGAAATCTGAAGAAGCTTCTCGGATGAGAAGCGAAATGTCTTCAAAGAAAAACCAGGAAATCCAGTTGCCTCTTGAAAAAGAGTTGGCCATGCAGAGTTAGCCGTGGGGAGGTGGCCACAGCGAGATGGCCATGCAGAGTTGGCCATGGTGAGGTGGCCACAGTGAGTTGGCCATGATGAGGTGGCCACAGCGAGTTGGCCATGTAGAGTTGGCCATGGTGAGATGGCCACAGTGAGTTGGCCATGTAGAGTTGGCCACAGTGAGGTGGCCACAGTGAGTTGGCCATGTAGAGTTGGCCGTGGTGAGGTGGCCACAGCGAGTTGGCCATGGGGAGGTGGCCACGGCAGGTTGGCCATGCAGAGTTGGCTGTGGGGAGGTGTCCGTGGTGATTTGGCCATGGTGAGGTGGCCACGACAAATTGGCCATGGACAGTTGGCCGTGGCGAAGTGGCCATTGAAAGTTGGCTTTGAGAAGTTGTCCCATTCCACGTCTTCGCTACGAAAGATTACTTAGATGATTTACTCAGAGAGTATTGAGTTTTCTGAAAAGCGAAGAGTATAGATAGGCCTGGGATCCTGTTCGCATGGGACAGCTGTGGGCCGTCTCTTGTTTATGAAAACCTTCTCATCTTCCAGAGTGAATATGTCGCAGAACGGGACAAGCGACTCGCTTGGATGTCGGGTTTTTCAGGATCGTCGGGTGAGTCCTCTTCCAGAAATGCAGCAACCCTCAAACCCTACATTTCTTAGTTGAGTCTCAGGTTGTCAGGAATCAAATTAGCAGCTGTTCTCAATGCTCATTGGTGGATCAAGTGCAGCTAGTCCTCGATTTACAACAGTTCATTTAGAGAGACTATTCGAAGTTACCATGGCACTACAAAAAGTGGCTTGTGACAATTTTTCACACTTACCACCATTGCAGCATCCCCATAGTGACATGACGCTGTGGCAACTGACTCATAGTTATGACTGTTGCAGTATCCCAGGATCATTTTATCCCCTTCTGCAACCTTCTGATGAGCAAAGTCAATGAGGAAGCCGGATTCACGTAACAACCGTGTGACTAGCTTAACGACTGCAGTGATTCACTTAACAACAGTGGGAAGAAAGGTCGTAAAATGAGGCAAAATTCACTTAACTTGCGCTTAGCAACAGAAATTTTAGGCTCACTTGTGGTCATAAGTCAAGGACTACCTGTAGGAACTATGAACTAAGCAAAAAAATAATAATAGTATAATCCGTGTGTCCCATCCAAACTTCCTTGAAAATAGTATTAAAAGGTAAAGATTCCCCTCGCACATATGTGCTAGTCGTTCCTGACTCTAGGGGGCGGTGCTCATCTCCGTTTCAAAGCCGAAGGGCCAGCGCTGTCCGAAGATGTCTCCATGGTTATGTGGCCGGCATGACTCAACGCCAAAGGCGCACGGAACGCTGTTAACTTCCCACCATAGGTGGCCCCTATTTTTCTACTTGCATTTTTTTACATGCTTTCAAACTGCTAGGTCGGCAGAAGCTGGGACAAGTTAACGGGAGCTCACCCCGTTAGGCAGCACTAGGGATTCGAACCGCTGAACTGCCGACCTTTCGATCGACAAGCTCAGCATCTTAACCACTGAGTCACCGCGTCCCTGAAAATAGAATAGTTGCACCCTAATTCCAGGGCAAGGCTGAGTAACATAGATCATATTTTTTGTTGTTGAAATATAGAAAAGCCCTTTTGCTGGGCTTACAGTGGCTCGTCTCCAGTCCCAGGATAAATTCAGATTGCTCCCTCCACCCCGTGGGTGAATTACGACTATGTTTAAGAAAGAAAGAAAGAAAGAAGAACAAATACCTTTATGCAAAATAATAAAAACGAAAGTCTTTTTTTCTGACTGAATCTTGCCTCAGCAGAACTGCAGTGCAACAGCTATATTTAATGTATTCAAGATGTTTAAATGCGTTCGATGCAAATTTCTCACTCTGTGCACTTTCTAAAAATCAACAAAAAGGGAGATAAACCTCCCACGTGTAATTTCCCACGTCTCTCATCCAGTCGCTGAACCTACAAATGTATGTAAACGAAAAATGTCTCCGCAGCTTTCCTGAGTCGAGTCTGACATTAGCAGCTTTCAGGAAAAGCGCCCTTGAGATTTAAAACTCAGGCGTAGCATTAATTGGCAAAATATTTTCACCTTCCTTGGGAGCTGGATTTCAGGGAGATTAGCACCTCCTGTCAATTGAGGATTTAAAAAATCTTAATTTATAATAAAGATTCACATGCTATGAAGCTTATGCAGGGTGTGTGTCAGAGGTGGGTTTCAGCAGGTTCTGACCAGTTCTGGAGAACTGGTAGCGGAAATTTTGAGTAGTTTGGAGAACCGGTAGTAAAAATTCTGACTGGCCCCGCCCCCATCTATTCTCTGCCTCCCAAGTCCCAGCTGATCGGGAGGAAATGGGGATTTTGCAATAACCTTCTCCTGGATTGGGGTGGGAATGGAGATTCTACAGTATCCTTCCCCTGCCACGCCCACCAAGCCACGCCCACCGAGCCACGCCCACAGAACTGGTAGTAAAAAAATTTGAAACCCATCACTGGTGTGTCCCTTCATCACCAACCAGAAAACGACATCCGGGGAAACAGCAGTGAAATCGATTTTGTCTTTGGCGCCTCTGATTTTTAGAATTTCATCCTTAGGGACTGGTGTGATCACCCTGCAAAAAGCCGTTCTCTTCACGGACAGCCGCTATTGGATCCAGGCTGAGCGTCAGATGGACTGCAATTGGGAGCTGCAGAAATCAGGTTTGTCCATGTCTTAATTTTGTCTTAGAGCTCCACGTTTTCTCTTTTCAGCTCCAGTTGCTACCAACAATCTCTTAGCCGTGTAAGCAATATCCTAAAGTAGTATTCCTCAGCTTGGCAACTTTTAAAATGAATAGAATGGAATAACAGAGTTGGAAGGGACCTTGGAGGTCTTCTAGTCCAACCCCCTGCTCAGGCAGGAAACCCTACACCACTTCAGACAAATGGTTATCCAACATCTTCTTAAGAACTTCCAGTGTTGGAGCATTTACAACTTCTGGAGGCAAGTTGTTCCACTGATTAATTGTTCTAATTGTCAGGAAATTTCTCCTTATTTCTAAGTTGCTTCTCTCCTTGATTAGTTTCCATCCATTGCTTCTTGTCCTACCCTCAGGTGCTTTGGAGAATAGCTTGACTCTCTCTTATCCAACTCATCATGGCCAACTTGTCACGGCCAACTCACCATGGGACAACTCACTGCAGGACAAAGAGTTACACTGATATCAAAAGAAATGGTGGAATAGAATCATTAGAGAAAGGATACAAAAGGAGGGACAAAATGAAATCTGACAAAAACAAATTTTTAATCTATTTGAAATAATTAAATTGAATTGATAAATTGTCCTCGTTGGCTGTGGTGAGTTGTCCCACAGGTAGTTGGCCGTGGTGAGTTGGCCATGGAGAGTTGGCCATGGAGAGTTGGCCATAATGAGTTGACCATCGTGAGTAGGCCATGGAGAGTTGACCATGGAGAGTTGACCATAGTGAGTTGGCCATGGAGAGTTGGCCATGTAGAGTTGACCATAGTGAGTTGGCCATGTAGAGTTGACCATAGTGAGTTGGCCATGGAGAGTTGGCCATGGAGAGTTGGCCATGGTGAGGTGGCCACAGCGAGTTGGCTGTGGCAAGTTATCTAATTCCAATTTTCCAGCTCTTCCCTGGAAGTCCTAGAAATCAGAACCTGGGGCTTCTGCCTACTCAGCAAGTGCTCAACCACTGTTCCATGGTCCTTCCCACAACTGATTCACTCTTGTGACCACTGAAATGGGACTCAGCTCCTGCCATGTTGGTCCATGCTTACAACATCTAGTCCTTCTGCCAATCCAGAGAAAGAGGCATGGCTCACTGATGTCTTTTCTTTTGCAGTGTGGGTCACCTCTATTGGACAATGGATACTCAATGAAGTTCCTGCTGGGGGAACCATTGGATTGGACCCCTTCCTCTTTTCTATCGGTATGAAGCATCTTTGGAGTTTCTCGGGCACATCAGGGCAGGCTCAAGAAGCTGGTCCACCAAAGGAAGATGAGGCTACCTCACTGCCTTGCATTAGCAGCTTGCACTGAAATGCTTAAATGCCAGCTGTTGTGCCTTCCCCCATCTCCCATGACAGTCTCCTGGCTGACAACAGCCATTCTGCTGTTATGTTTCAAGAGCTCTCCTTCCCATTCTCTTTCCCTAGACACTTGGTACAGCTATCAACAGATCCTGGATGGTGAAAATAGGACTTTGGATTTCCCTGTCGTTAACCTGGTGGACCTCGTGTGGGGCAGCGAGCGGCTTCCGCCTCCGACCAACACAATCTATCGACTCACTGATGACTTCATTGGTATGTGTGGAGCACAAACAAAGTGCCAAGGGGAGATTCATAATCATAAGTTTATTTGTCAAGCATATATAAGATAACAGGTAAAAGTATAAACATAATTTGAATACATGAAAAGAATAAGAGTAAAAAGGAATATTAGGACAGGGACGGTAGGCACGCTGGTGCACTTATGCACGCCCCTTACAGACCTCTTAGGAATGGGGTGAGGTCAACAGTAGACAGTTTAAGGTTAAAGTTTTGGGGGTTTGGGGAAGAAACCACAGAGTCAGGTAGTGCATTACAGGCATTGACCACTCTGTTGCTGAAGTCGTATTTTCTGCAATTGAGTTTGGAACGGTTTACCTTGAGTTTGTATCTATTATGTGCTCGTGTATTGTTGTGGTTGAAGCTGAAGTAGTCATTGACAGGAAGGACATTGTGGCAGATCATTTTATGTACTATGCTTAGGTCAGACTGAAGTCGGCGTAGTTCTAAATTGTCTAAGCCCAAAATTTGGAGTCTGGTGGCATAAGGTATTTTATTGCAGTTAGAGGAATGGAAGATTCTTTTTGTAAAATATCTCTGGACTCTCTCGATTGTATTTATCTCCGATATGCAGTGCGGGTTCCAGACAGATGAGCTTTATTCAAGAATTGGTCTAGCAAATGTTTTGTATGCTCTAGTTAGTAGTACAACATTACCAGAGAAGAAGCTACGCAAGATTAGGTTAACAACTCTTCATGCCTTTTTGGCAATGTTATTGGTGAGGAGTTGGGGGTCATTTTGCCTGGAGACAAAGGAAGTTTGTAATTCAATATTTGTCAGGCACTAAGCATCGGTGACATCAGGGACGCGGTGGCTCAGTGGCTAAGACGCTGAGCTTGTTGATCGAAAGGTCAGCAGTTCAGCAGTTCAAATCCCTAGTGCCACGTAACGGGGTGAGCTCCCGTTACTTGTCCCAGCTTCTGCCAACCTAGCAGTTCGAAAGCACGTAAAAAATGCAAGTAGAAAAATAGGGACCACCTTTGGTGGGAAGGTAACAGCGTTCCGTGCGCCTTTGGTGTTTAAAGCTCTTCGGCTTTGAAACGGAGATGAGCACCGCCCCCTAGAGTCGGGAACGACTGGCACATATGTGCAAGGGGAACCTTTACCTTTTTATACACAAGAGTCTAGTCAACTAAAGTTCAGTAATAAATTGGTGGCAGATAAGGGTCAACAAAATTCAAAAGAGGTTGCATTTGGGGTTGGACTTGGATAATTTGTGGCAACGTAAGGACTCTAAGATGATGACACATTTAACTCCACCACCAGCCCAGCTCTGTCTGCTCTTCCCTTGCAATATTTCTGGAACAGCTCAATTTGAGAAAGGTGGCCTTAGGGCAAACCTCCTCACCTTAAATTGGCTGCCTATCAGTTCTCCTGTTTAATAGAAGCAGCACCGCAGGCCATAAGAAAAATGTATTGTTTTTCTTGCTCTCTTTTGGCCAGACTGGATGCTGTTTTATAGTGAAGGCCAGGAAATTGGCGTTTTCATCAGTCAGGCCTCCCAGTCTTATGATCTTTTCTTCCTTTAGGAAGTACCTGGCAAGAGAAGGTTGCCCACGCTCGGTCGCAGATGGAGCAACACAGCAGGAAGCCCACAGCAATCTTGCTTTCTGGCCTCGAGGAGACGGCATGTATGTTGGTTAATATTTAACAGGCATCTATTTATATATTTCTCTCCTAGATCCCTCCCTCCCTCTCTCTCATTCTATCTATCTATCTATCTATCTATCTATCTATCTATCTATCATCTATCTATTTATCATCTATCTGTCTGTCTGTCTCTCTAGCTATCTATCATCTATCAATCTATCTATCATCTATCTGTCTGTCTGTCTGTCTATCATCTATCTATTTATCTTTTTATCTATCTATCTATCATCTATCTATCTATCATCTATCTATCTATCATCTATCTGTCTGTCTGTCTCTCTGGCTATCTATCTATCATCTATCAATCTATCTATCATCTATCTGTCTCTCTGTCTCTCTGTCTATCTAACTATCATCTATCTATCTATCTATCTATCTATTTATCTATCTGTCATCTATTTATCTATCTATCTATCACGTACAGTATCAATCATCTATCTATCTATCATCTCTTTCTATCCTATTATCTATCTATCCTATCATCTATCATCCATCCATCCATCATCTGTCTATCATCTACAGTATCAATCTATCTATCATCTATTTGTCTGTCTATCATCTATATATCTATTTATCTTTCTATCTATCATCAATCTATCTATCTATCATCTATCTCTCTGTCTGTCTGTCTCTCTAGCTATCTATCATCTATCTATCTATTTATCTTTCTATCTATCATCTATCTATCATCTCTGTCTGTCTCTCTGTCTCTCTATCTATTATCTATCTATTTATCTTTCTATCTATCATCTATTTGTCTGTCTCTCTGTCTATCTATCTATCATCTATCTATCTACTGTATCTATTTATCTTTCTATCTATCTATCATCTGTCTCTCTCTCTATCTATCTATCATCTATCTATCTATCTATCTATCTATCTATCTATCTATCTATCTATGTGTCTATCTATCTGTCTAAATATCTGGATATGTATCTGTCTGTCTGTCTATCATCTATCTATCTATCTATCTATCTATCTATCTATCTATCTATTTATCTATCTATCTATTTATCTATCTATCATCTATCTATCTATCTATGTGTGTGTCTTTCTATCTAAATATCTGGATATGTGTCTGTCTGTCTGTCTGTCTGTCTGTCTGTCTGTCTGTCTGTCTGTCTATCTATCTATCTATCTATCTAGATCATCTATCTCTATTTCTATTTCTATAACCATCAACTATCTAGCTATCTCCAACCTATCTAGATAAGGTTGTAGCTATCTCCAACCTTATTTTTAATAATATCTCTAGGCATTGAACATACCTAATACTACTTCCTCCTCCTTTGTTCTTCCCAATAACAACCCAAATTGGGCCCAAAATCACCGAGCTGCTTTCATGCCTAAGCTCGTACTAGAACTCATAGTCTCCTGGTTTCTAGCCTGTAAACTCTAAGCAGTTTACAGAGTTAGCCTATTGCCCCCAACAATCTGGGTTCTCACTTGACCGACCTCGGAAGGATGGAAGGCTGAGTTTACCTTGAGCTGGTCAGAATCGAACTGCCAAACTGCTGTCGGTCAGCAGAATTAGCCTGCAATACTGCATTCTAACCACTGGGCCACCATGGCTCTGCCCAGCATATGAAAGGTTCAATCGTGTGTCTTGTTTCCTCATTACACAAAACCTCTAGTTATCTCTTCTTCCCATCTTTGTCTCAAATTCCTACTTCCTGGCTCCCTGCAGTGGCCTTGGCTGCTTCCTTGTCTCTCTTCTGCGATCCGTCTCTTCCTTTAATCGCTTAACGGCTGTCCTGGTTTAACAAGGGGGATGTTACAGGCGTCTTTTTGTCCCCCTGTAGGGCTCTTCAATCTTCGAGGAGATGACATTCCTTACACCCCCGTCTTCTACGCTTACACTCTTCTCACCAAGACAGATATCAGGTACTTGATCTCCCTGCAACAATTCAGACAACCGTCTGGTTCCCATCGTAAGTGGGAGCTTCCACGAAATGTGGCCAGGGTCCAACCGAGCAGTCAGCTTTCCATTCCTTTCGTTTCCTTTCCCCTCCCATTCTGTTTTTCTTTTGATTTTTCCATCTCCGCCCCCACAGATCAGCATGCTCAGACATCGTTGGGCTGTCTTTAGGAGAGAGAATTGCCTTCTTCGTCTTCTCTTTGTTGGCTAAAGAGGGGGTTTTTTGGTCCCATGGGTTCCCTTAAGTTTCCTGAGATCCCTCTTCTGTGCAGATTCATTTGGGTGGAATATACTGGAGTTGCTGAGGTCCTGGTAATCACCTCTGAAGTTCTTCAGAAAAAAATAGACGAAATAATAAAGCCTTTTGTGCACATCTGAAAGCCTTGTCTACTGGGGGTTCGCAGGGGTTCGGGAGAACCTCTAGCTAAGATTCTGTGGATTTCAGAGAACCCCCAAATCCCACTCCCGGCTGGCCCTACCCTGCCCTGCCCTGCCCACTCCACCCCTCCCCTCCCGGAGTCCCCACACAGCCCGTTTTGGATGCAGGTAAGTGCAGGGCATCCGTGGAGGCTCGGAGAGGGCAAAAAATGGGCCTACCAGAAGCTTGGGAAGGCCAGAAATGGGCCCATTTCCAGCCTTCAGAGGGCCTCCGGAGCCTGGGAAGGCTGTTTTTGCCCTCCCAGAGGCTCGAGAAAATCCCAGGGAGGGCAAAAATGCCCCCCCCCCACCGTGGTGCAGGAGGCTGATTAGGCCACGGCCACGGCCACCCAGCAACCAGGCAGAGAACCCCTTGCTAAAATTTTTGAAGCCCACGCAAAATCTCCATTCCCACCCCACTCTGGGGCCAGCCAGAGGTGGTATTTGCCAGTTCTCCGAAGTACTCAAAATTTCTGCTACCGGTTCTCCAGAACCTGTCAGAACCTGTTGGATGTATTTCCTTTATTGTACTTTTCTGGTAAGATACCCAACAAAAATACTTCTGGTTTTAAATCAAGTTCAATTGTTGTTTGCAAACAGAATACAAGAATGTCAGAAGGAAGAGACTCTTGGCCGTGGCAGCAATGTGGCAGGTCCACATAGAGAGAGAGAGAGGGTTGGTCCATGTGCTCCCAGGGCCTCTTGGCTGGGTGCCACAAAGATATCCAAGTGCCAGCTGGTACTTTGAACCAGCCTAGAACTCTGAACTGATGTGGCAGGACAAGGCTTACGTTCTTAAGGAGGAAACAAATTACAGGACTTGTAAAATCATGGTGGGAATGTGGAAAAGAGCCATGTTTATACGGCGTGAACTTTGTGTAGTCGAAAGCAAGCCTACATCTTGCATTTGAATTCACAGGCACAAGAAGGAAGAAGGAAGGAAGGCTTTGGGTTGTGAAAATCCTGCAGTGGGTCTGCCTAATAGGGCTTTGTGTTAAAATAAACTTCACTGTTTAGGATAGCGCAGATGGGGAGAATTTTAAAACAAATGAACGATCCACCGCTGTTCGTGTTATATTTGTATATGTTTTCAGCGAACGGCAAAACAAATGTGGGGGAAGAGAGGCCTGTGTCAACCTGATGGCCTCCAGATGTCTTGCACTACAAGTTCCAAGAGCCTTCATCAGTATGGGAATTGTAGTTCAGCATCTCTGGAACAGAGCGAGTTGAAGAAAGCTGACTTAAGCCTTTTTCTTCATCGCTTGGAGAAAAGTCGCGGAAATGCCTTTTGAACCCCAGGAGAAGGCCCGTTTGTCTTCTTCTGAGACGATGGTCAGTGGGTTGGAAGCTGCAAGAAGTGGGCTGAGATCTTGGCCCGGCCAACATTCAGTGGGTTGATGTTATGTCGATCATCAACTTTTAACCGTGCCTAATTGGCAAAGGGGTTATTAGGAAGCTAAAAGGAGGAAGCATGGCCAGGAAATGCTACTCTCCAGCACAAGGAACAATAGTGGGATGGAAAGGAAGATTTCTAGTGTGATTGGAGCTCTCCTATAAATGCTGAACCATAATTCCCAGCAGCCTAGCCAGCATGGCCAATGGGGAAGGATCAGTGGTGAAATTCAATTTTTTTTTACTACCGGTTCTGTGGGTGTGGCTTGGTGGGTGTGGCAGGGGAAGGATACTGCAAAATCCCCATTCCCTCCCCACTCCAGGGGAAGGATACTGCAAAATCCCCATTCCCTCCCCACTCCTGGGGGAAAGATACTGCAAAATCCCCATTCCCTCCCCACTCCAGGGGAAGGATACTGCAAAATCCCCATTCCCACCCCACTCCTGGGGGAAGAATACTGCAAAATCTCCATTCCCACCCCACTCCAGGGGAAGGATACTGCAAAATCCCCCTTCCCACTCCATTCTGGGGCCAGCCAGAGGTGGTTATTTGCCGGTTCTCCGAACTACTCAAACTTTTCGCTACCGGTTCTCCAGAATCTGTCAGAACCTTCCAGATTTCACCCCGGGAAGGATGCTGGGAGATGTAGCTGCCCAACATTTGGAAAGGCCACATTTTCCTGAATAAACTCATTTCCTTTTTTTTTTTCAAAAACATTTTTATGAAGTTATAAAATATTATAAAATACAAAAGCAAATAAGAGGACAAGGAGGGGAAAGAGAAAAGAAAATTGTGGAAGGGTAGGGAAAGAAAAAGAAAAAAAAAACATTGACTCCCGACTCTCTCTGTTACAGTAGAAAAGGGCATTATCAAAAAAAAAAATCACAACTTTTAGTTTTACCATAATAGTATGAACCAGTTATTTCTGGCAAAAGTCTAATCTACCAAACCCAAAGTCAAGATTTCATTCTTTTTCACATCAAGCATGAAGTTCAGAAGCGGTTTCCATCAGAGGTGAAACCCACCTCTGATGGAAACCGCTTCTGAACTTCATGCTTGATGTTTCACATAACAGTTATGGTTTCACATAACTTTACCACCAGTTCGCTGCGCACTGAAAATGTGCGTGCGCACCTTCCGTTCATACGCCTGGCCTTCCGCGCATGTGCTTTGTTCGTGCACGTGGCTTGCACGCATGCATGCGGCTTAGAAAACATGGCTAAATAGGACGGCATAGAGCCAGGGCGGGTGAGCAGATGGGTAGCCTCACCCAAAGGTTGCCACTACCGGCTGAAGACCACCACTGGTTTCCACATGGAAACAAAAGTAGTCAGTTTTGCCATTTCAGACAACTCCCATCGGCTTCTGCAACCGTTCTTCTATAGGAAGATTAAACTCATTCCCAATGGGGATGTCTCACTTTTCCTTTCATTTACTCCCAGTCTGTTTGTGAACCGGAGTCGGCTGAGCACCGGAGCACTCCAGATGTTGACAGCAGGCTGTGTGGAATCTTTGTGTGTGAAGGTCGAAGACTACGACCAGATAGGGGCCAGCCTGAGAAAATATGCCCACCAAGATGGGGTGATCATCTGGATCGGAACAGAATACACAACTCTGGGACTTTACAAGGAGATCCCTCAAGTAAGAGAGAAGAGAAAAAGAAAGATAAGCTAATTTGTCTTCTTCCCCAACCAGAGGTCGGCAACCTTAAACACTCAAAGAGCCACAAAGGTCCTAACCGGAAGCCCCCCTTCAATTCTGGAGCCGACCGGAAGTCCAGTTCCCCCATCATAGTCTCTTCCTAGCATGGCGTCCTTTTTCCTCTGCTGATCAGAAGTTTGGTTCCCCCGCCATAAAGTCTCTTCCTAGCACGGCATCCTTTCTCCTCTGTTGACCGGAAGTCTGGTTCTCCCACCATAGAGTCTCCTCCTAGCACGGCATCCTTTTTCCTCTGCCGGCTGGAAGTCTGGTTCTCCCACCATAGAGTCTCCTCCTAGCACGGCATCCTTTTTCCTCTGCTGGCTGGAAGTCTGGTTCTCCACCATAGAGTCTCCTCCTAGCACGGCATCCTTTTTCCTCTACCTATCCTAACTGAAAGCCCTATCAATTGTGGAGCTGACCAGCAACAGGGAGCCGCAGCAGAGGGATGAAAGAGCCACATGTGGCTCCAGAGCCGCGGGTTGCTGACCCCTGCCCCAACCTATCCTAATCTCACGTTTCTCCCACGATTATAAGGAGAGTATCTCCTAACCCTGTGATGGCAAAGTTATGGCACATGTGCCAGAGGTGACACGCAGCACTCTCTCTGTGGGCACGCGAGACATCGCCCCAGTTCTGTTCTGCAGTGCATGCGCACGTGCCTCCCACTGACCAGCCGGTCTTCGGGTGTCTGCCGTGCATGTGCAGGAGGTGTGTGTGGGGTATTGCACATGCATGCAAGGAGTACGCAAGCATGCGTGGGTGACTGGGTGCATGCACAGGGACCATGCACACATTGCATTTTGGGGGTTTGAGCATGCACGCATTCACACATGGGCAATCGGTCCGGAAAAGGTTAGCCATCACTGTCCTAACCACTTTCCACCTACGAGCTATCTCTTCTAATACCTGTTCAATCCAACAATTTAAACCCATTTTTAAAAGACCAGGATTTAAGCAGAAGCACAACATCATCTCAGAAGTTGTAAACAAGGACACAACAAATTGAGCAAGTAGAAGAGGGTAACTATCATACATGTCCATTATTACAACAGGCTATTAGCAATTTAAAAAAAGAAAGAAAGTAAGAATTGGACCCGTGCTACAGTTTGCATCATGCTCCTAAGCACAAAGCAAGATGCCAATATAATTCTTAATTTCTACGCAGGGGGAAAAAAAAAGAATAAATGTTTGATTTCCACTTGAGGAGGACTTTATTCCACTTCCTTCTTCCTAGATCGTGAATCCCTTAGATCGTGAATCTTCCAGAATCATGACAAGCAAAGATAACTGTGTTCATTGCAAAAACTGTTAAAGATGAAATGCGAAGAAACAGAGGGCACATTAATGCAACTGATTAATGGAATTTGCTGTGATGAGTGATGCAGTTGGTTAATATTTAATCTCTGAATGAGCCTCCTATAGATATGCTAAACTTTCCCCCAGTTTTTCTGACTTAACTTTCTGGAGCCAACTCCAAATCTGGGGACAAGTTAGCAGTTTTTCCTCCTCCTATCCCACCTGAAGCTCCAATAGAGGAACGCTGCAGATCTTCTGAGATTCATGCAGCAGCAAAAGCTCTTGTAGGAAGTGCCCCATCTCAGAATCAACCTGACCTGAAATGAAATATTCCAACAGCAATAGCACTTATATACACTGCTCCATAGTGCTTTCCAGCCCTCTCTAAGCGGTTTACAGAGTCAGCCTATTGCACCCAACAATCTGGGTCCTCATTTGACCCACCTCGGAAGGATGGAAGGCTGAGTCAATCTTGAGCCGGTCAGAATCGAACTTCTGGCAGTTGGCAGAGTCAGCCTGTAATACTGCTTTCTAACCACTGGGAAGGAAAGAATGGCTCTTTATGCTGAGATCCCAGTGAAAGCTTGTTGCCAGCTGTGCATTTACAGGTGTATGGCTCAAGAAATTGCTGTAATTCCCACAGCGCTGCCTTAGGCCTGTGAAATTTACCCATGTAGTAGGCTGCATTGCTATTATCATCTTTCTCCTCGTCTCTTGTCTTCTCTTCTCCTATTGGTATCTTATGATAAATTACTTGTTATTTGTATCTTATGATTAATGATTGTTAACTATGAATTATGATCTAGGACCTATAACCGTGATGGCGAGCCTATGGCACGCGTGCTCTCTTTGTGGGCATGCGTGCCATCACAAGCTGCTCTTCTGGTTTCTGGCAGGCACATGCATGCCAGCCAGCTGATCTTCGTGGGTGCTGGAGCGCCGGAAAACAGCCTGAAAACGGCTGAACGATGGCCCAAAAAAACGGTAAAAAAACAGGCCATTTTTCGAGCCGTTTTCAGGACGTTTTTGGGGCCATTGTTCAGGCTGTTTTTCGGGCTATTTGGGGGGCATTTTTTGGCCTGAAAATGGCCCCAAAAAATGGCCCAAAAATGCATGCATGTGCCAGCCAGCTGGTCTTCGTGTTTCCGGCGTTCGGTGCAGAACGCATGCACATGCGTTCCGGTTTGGGCACTCGGTGCCGAAAAGGTGCACCATCACTGACCTATAACTTTGTTGTTGTATATGTGTACATTGAGAGCTTATGCACTGGAGACAAATTTCTTGTGTGTCCGATCACACTTGCCTAATAAAGAATTCAATTCTATTCTATTCTATTCTATTCTATTCTATTCTATTCTATTCTATTCTATTCTATTCTCTACTCTACTTTATTCTATTCCTATTTCTTATTCTATTCTGTTCTACTCTACTCTACTTTATTCTATTCCTATTTCTTATTCTATTCTGTTCTACTCTACTCTACTCTACTTTATTCTATTCCTATTTCTTATTCTATTCTGTTCTACTCTACTCTACTTTATTCTATTCCTATTTCTTATTCTATTCTGTTCTACTCTACTCTACTCTACTTTATTCTATTCCTATTTCTTATTCTATTCTATTCTGTTCTACTCTACTCTACTTTATTCTATTCCTACTTCTTATTCTATTCTGCTCTACTCTACTCTACTCTATTTCTATTCCTATTTCTTATTCTATTCTGTTCTACTCTACTCTACTCTACTTTATTCTATTCCTACTTCTTATTCTATTCTGCTCTACTCTACTCTACTCTATTTCTATTTCTATTTCTATTTCTTATTCTATTCTGTTCTACTCTACTCTACTCTACTTTATTCTATTCCTATTTCTTATTCTATTCTGTTCTACTCTATTCTGTTCTATTTCATTCCACTCCATTCTAAATTCCCACCTTCCTGTTTGCAGGAAAAACTCTTAGAAGACGATTTCTCCCCTGTCATGCTCTCCAAGGCTGTCAAAAACTCCAAGGAGCAGAAGATGATGGAAGCCGCTCATGTATGTAATCCACAGCAGGGACACTCACCCACGTGATGCAACGACCTTGAGAGTCGAGGTCCAAAAGGACCTTCAGGAATCAGTGAAAAGGAACGCCCACAGCTGGAAAGATTTTGAGTGTTGCACTGTGAAGCTTTGTGAGGCACACTGGCCTAAAAGCTGAAGGACAGAGGGGCAGAGGGGCGGAAGGTTAGAAGTACGCAGTGTATAGCTAGTCCTCAACTTGTGACCACAATGGAAGCAGAATTTCCATTCTGCTAGGCAAGGCATTTTTTTAAGTGAGTCATACCTGAATTTATCACCTTTTATTTATTTATTTATTGCCATGTCTACAGAGTTTCTCAGTCTTTCAGGTCATAGTTTCAAAGGTGCTTTTTCAAAAGGCAACTGGCCTTTTTCTTTTCTTTTTTTTTTTTTTTGAGGAAGAAGAGGAAGAAAATATTTCGGTTCTCATCCAAGAACCCTTCTGGATTTTCTCCAGGGCTGGGCTTCAAAAATTTTAGCAATTGGTCCTGGAACCACACTTTAGTCACTGTGTACACACGCCATGTTTAACTTGGTTATTAAATTAACCTATTTGGAGAAGGGGGGATTCTCCCAACGGACCGGATCGCACTAACCCAAAAGCCAGATTTGCCCATCAGGCTAAAGCGTAAAAAAAAATTCAAACATTATTCAAACTAACCCAAGCAGAACTGTTGTGTAAATATAGCTCCAAGGGTTTTACTAACCCAGGGAAAGTGCTGTGAGAGCAGAACCCAGAAGAAGTCCCTGTTTAAATCTTATTCTGACTCCAGCAAAAAAATAAAAATAAAAAAAAAAACAAGGCATGGCTGTTTTCCTATCCAATCCTGGTATTGCAACTTCTCCTCCTCCTTGCTTGTTCTCCTGCTTCGGTGCAGGGTTAAGTGACAGTGGCCCTTTGCGGGGTCTCTCTTTGCTTTGTGTTGGCCTTAGATACGAGATGCCGTGGCGCTGATCCGGTATTTGGTTTGGCTGGAAAAGAAGGTGCCCAAGAACTCTGTAGATGAGGCGTCTGGAGCACATTACCTGGACGCGCTACGAAGGTCAGTTTGAATGAGGCGATTTTAGGGGCGCTAATAAGCAGAGGGGAATAGTACAACTAGAGAGTCGGGTAAAACATTAGCAGAATGAATGCATCCATTCCCCAAAATGAATGAATAAATGAACGGAATCTATCTATCTATCCTATCATCTATCATCTATCATCTACCTCTTTCTTTCTTTCTATCCTATCTATCATTATCTCCTATCATCTATCATACATCCATCATCTCTCTCTCTCTATTTATCTATCATTATCTATCCTATCTATCATCTATCTATCATCTATCTCTTTCTTTCTTTCTATCCTATCTATCATTATCTATTCTATCTATCATTATCTATCCTATCCTATCCTATCATCTATCTATCTATCACCTACAGTATCAATCATCTATCTATCTCTTTATCATCTATCATCCATCCATCCATCCATGTATCTCTATCAATCTATCTATCATCTATCTATCACCTACAGTATCAGTCATCTATCTATCTCTTTATCATCTATCATCCATCCATCCATCCATCTATGCATCTCTATCTATCAATCTATCTATCTATATCATCTATCATCTATCATCTATATATTCTATTATCTATCTTTTTATCTATCTATCTATCTATCTATCTATCTATCACCTATCAATCATCTATCTATCTATCTATCTATCTATCTATCTATCTATCTATCTATCTAGTGCTGTTATGCAAAATTTTGTGGTCTTGTCCAAAATTGATTCCACAAATTGGTTGGCACCTTGATGCTTTCAATTGTCAACCAGAGATCCAATTGTTCTGATATTTCAAATTATAGAGAACTCTCTTGAACTCGCCGAATATCGAATTAATGATGCAAATCAGCTAATATCTCCTATAATCCTAGTAAGAAATTCAGCTCAATTGATGCATTGCCCCAAAGGATAATATGAATTGTTCAGGTTTTAGCTTAGTGCACTATGCAAACCTAGCGATTGGGAGCTTATTCCAGAAACTCTGATTGTTTTAACACAAGGTGGGGATCCAGTCACTGAATACCAGATGTTCTTTCTCCTTCCACAGGGAAGAGCTGTACTGCAAGGGGCCGAGCTTTGAGACCATCTCAGCCAGTGGATTGAATGCAGCCTTGGCTCATTACAGGTACTGGGAAGAAGAGTGGGGGAAGGGATAGGTTTTAATGGAGGGTGTAAAACAAGCAAATGTTTCCTTTTCCTACAAGGCAGGGGTCATCAACCTTAATCACTCAAAGAGCCACAAAGGTCCTAACTGGAAGCCCCCCGTTCAATTCTGAAGCGGACTGGAAGTCCAGTTCCCCCACCATAGAGTCTCTTCCTAGCACGGCATCCTTTTTCTTCTACCTGTGCTAATCGAAAACCCTATCAATTGTGGAGCTGACCGGAAAACCCGTCCCTTGCCATAGTCTCTCCTCCTAGTGCGCTGTGCTTCCCCTCTGGAGCCTGGGGAGGGCGAAAAACAGGCCTTCTGGTCCCACTGGAAGTTGGAAAATGGGCTATTTCTGGCCTCCAGGGGGGTGGGGAAGGCTGTTTTCGCCCTCCCCAGGTTCCTAGAAAGCCTGGGGAGCCCGAAAAACAGGCCTTCCGGTCCCATTGGAAGTTGGAAAATGGGCCATTTCTGGCCTCCAGGGGGGTGGGGAAAGCTGTTTTCGCCCTCCCCTGGTTCCTAGAAAGTCTGGGGAGCCTGGGGAGGGCAAAAAACAGGGCTACCGAGCCCACCGGGCCAAAAGCGGGGGGAGCACGGGGGCGGTCATGCGTGCATGCATGGGGGCAGGGCGCATTGAATTATGGGTGTGGGCACGTGCGTGAGCGATCCCCCGCACTCCCCCTGCTTTTGGCACGCGACGGCAAAAAGGTTAGCCATCACTGCCCTACAATGAACATCTCTTCATTTGTGGAACGGCAGAGGTAGAAGACCTGACTCACATCCTATTTGATTGTTGCCTGTATAAGAGGGTGAGGGACAGGTACCTCGCTCTATAGACCAAATGAATGACCCATTGGGATCCCCATATCAAAACCACTCACCTTATGTGTGGCCAGAATCTGAAAATAACATTTAACACAGCACAGGACTTAAGCAAAATGGTTTGGTTGAGATCGGCATATGTGGGACTGAGTGGGGTAAATGGTAGGGGTGACACCGCGATATAATTTTCTCAGCCAGAGGTGATATTTGCCGGTTTTCCGAACAACTCAAAATTTCCGCTACCGGTTCTCCGAACTGCTCAAAATTTCTACTACCCGTTCTCCAGAACCTGTCAGAACCTGCTGAATAGCACCCCTGGCCAAGGGCTAACCAAGAAATAAATGTAAATGTAATGTGAAGATCTGGTCAGGTAGACATTCCATTCAACCAGTTGTCATAAGACGTGATATCAATGTACTGTAGATATTTTGAAATCTTTATGATATGAATTTATAATGACATTATAGTCAAGCTTATCATTGCTATGAGACTTGATGAAGGATGTGAATGGGGTTATCTCTGATCTTCTTTAGCCATGGATTTTTTTGAAGGCAACATACCTTTCCTTGTTTTTCTTTCAGCCCGTCCAATTTTACTGCTCGAAAGCTAACTCCCAATGAAATGTACTTATTGGATTCTGGAGGCCAATATTTGTGAGTATGACCATCAAGAGCCATCTTCTGGATCAAGCTCAGATGCCAGCATTTGGTGGAAACATTTCAAAGGATCTTCCCGGCTAAGGGTTGAAATTGGGGTGTACTCAGAGAACAGCTGTTTAATATGATTTATTATGCCTCATTGAATTGATGTTGAGTCTTGGCAACCAGATAGTTAGATAAGAGTTTTCTCCAGTAGGATCTGGTCCTTCAGATCTTCCAACCGTACACCCATATAACTGAGTCCATTCACCTTGTGCTGGTTGGCATCTTCCCTTTCCTTCCTCAGCTCTTTAGCACAAAGTTGTTTCTCTTTGACCAACCAGCCACTTCCTCCTTAGTTGAAATTTTGAGATTTAAGGGCAGCAGAGCGAATCTATCAGAAGAACATGTCAAAATAAATACTGATATTTAGAATAGAATAGAATAGAATAGAACAGAACAGAACAGAACAGAACTGAACAGAATAGAGAATAGAATTAGAATAGAATTAGTAGAGTAGAGTAGAGTAGAGTAGAGTAGAGTAGAGTAGAGTAGAGTAGAGTAGAGTAGAGTAGAGTAGAGTAGAGTAGAGTAGAATAGAATAGAATAACAGAGTTGGAAGGGACCTTGGAGGTCTTCCAGTCCAACCCCCTGCTTAGGCAGGAAACCCTACACCACTTCAGACAAATGGTTATCCAACATCTTCTTAAAAACTTCCAGTGTTGGAGCATTCACAACTTCTGGAGGCAAGTTGTTCTACTGATTAATTGTTCTAACTGTCAGGAAATTTCTCCTTAGTTCTAAGTTGCTTCTCTCCTTGATTAGTTTCCACCCGTTGCTTCTTGTCCTGCCTTCAGGTGCTTTGGAGAATAGCTTGACTCCCTCTTCTTTGGGGCAGCCCCTGAGATATTGGAACACTGCTATCATGTCTCCCCCAGTCCTTCTTTTCATTAAACTAGACATACCCAGTTCCTGCATCCATTCTTCATATGTTTTAGCCTCCAGTCCCCTAATCCTCTTTATTGCTCTTCTCTGCAATCTTTCTAGAGTCTCCACATCTTTTTTACATCGTGGCAACCAAAACTGGATGCAGGATTCCAAGTGTGGCCTTATCAAGGCATCATAAAGTGATATTCACACTTCCCATGATCTTGATCCTTGACTTGATCTTAACAGAGAGGAGTAGACAGAAATACATACACAAATAATTTCTTGGAGGAAGGAACACCAGAATAAAGTCGTTAAAAATGCATTTCAAAGTCTTCTTTTTCAGGATAGAAATAGGCAGCTATTATGAACCTACCTTTTAAAAGAAACTAGGATCCTTCGATTCATCAAAGAATTTGAGGCAAAAGTTATTCCTTCGGAATCCAAAGAATTTCATTTTGAATTGCAGTATTGCAAAGAGCTTGATTAGGTCGGATTGATTGGGCAACTCTGGGGCAATCAATGACCATTCTTATAAAATAACATTAGCATCCGAAAATCTATTCCCAATCTGCTGTAAATAACCCATATTTAGATCCCAGACCTGGCTTTACTCATCTCCCATCCTTTAGAAGGGCTAAAACAAAGATTTTGCTCTGTAAAACAGACACAAAGGCCACAGTCTCGGGCCTTCCCAGTCTCAGGATTCTACTGGGAAGTCTGAAGATCCGTGGCTTGTTAGGAGCTCAGTTGGAGGAAGTTCCGTCTTGAAGTAGCTTCTTCCTTGTTTCTCGTTTTGTAGTGACGGCACCACGGATATCACTCGGACCATCCACTGGGGGGAGCCCACAGCTTTTCAGAAGGTAAGGCTGATTCTCAAACACACCTGAATGGTACAGCTACCGTACTCAGCTGGCTTTCAGCTGGCTTTCTCCAGGAAATCTAACATCTCCAGGAAATCTAACACCTTCCTAAGGGGAGCAGAAGAAGGGAGGTTTCCCCCCACCCCAAAGCATTCAATTCAGACTCCTTGGTGAAACTAAGGGTGTCCCAGAAATCCATAATCGGCACCATGTGGGAAAAGGTACAAGCACATCTCGTGAAAACAATCAAGTTTCTAGTATTTTATCCAGCAAAGTGTAGAGTTGATTCAGCCTTCCATCCTTTTGAGGTAGGTAAAATGAGGACCCGCATTGTGGGGGCAATAAGCTGACTTTGTATAAAAAAGAACACCGCTTAGGGGGGGCCGAAAGCCCTACTAAGCAGGTATATACAAAAGTATGAAGGCTATTGCTTAACGCATTGTAAGCCGCCCTGAGTCTCCGGAGAAGGGCGGCATATAAATCAAACCAATAAATAAATAAATAGAGTAGAATATTCACTCCAATGTACTGTGATTTTTTTCAACAGCTATACCGTGTTTTCCCCAAAAATAAGACCCTGTCTTATTTTTATTTTATTTTTTGAACCCTAAAATAAGCGCTTGGCCTTATTGCCATGCGCTCAAAAGCCCAATTGGGCTTATTATCAGAGGATATCTTATTTTGGGAGAAGCAGGGTAGGAGAAATGGTTTATATAGAGTGTTGGGAGAAATGTCCATTTGGGTTCAGCTCCAAGTGAGGAGAAAGACATTGGAAAAATGGAGACTGCTTGAAAAGATGGTTTAATGGTGAACAGGACCACATGGTTTTGAGGTCTTGGACAAAAAAAGGCCCATGGGTGAGAGAGAGAATAGAATAGAATAGAATAGAATAGAATAGAATAGAATAGAATAGAATGGAATGGAATGGAATGGAATGGAATGGAATGGAATAGAATAGAATAGAATAGAATAGAATAGAATAGAATAGAATTGAATAGAATAGAATAGAATAGAATAGAATAGAATAGAATAGAATAGAATAGAATAGAATAGAATAGAATAGAATTTTTTATTGGCCAAGTGTGATTGGACACACAAGAGAGATTTATACCTTTGGTTGGGCTTTGAATTTGAGCTTGTGCTCTGATTGGTTGTCAGTCTCCCATGGGGCGATGCAGGGGTAACTTTGTAGTTGTCTTTTGAGTCCCAGGCTTGGTTGACTTTTGCTAGGTGATGATGTAATGAAAGGGCTTTGGGCAATGCCTGAAGGAGGTAGATCTTTGTTATATAGAATAGACTGGCCCAGGCCTTAATGGCCCATTGACAATGGTGGTGGGGGAGGCTGAGTTTCTGCCTCCCTTTTAGGGGAAATATTCTGCCCTTTTAATATTTCCTAAAATATCTCATTTTCCTAGGAGAGGGGCGGGTGCTAACTTCCTACAAGAGGAGAAAAAGAAAGGATATATTATTGATATTATCTTCAATAAAATACTGGATGAATAATTAGAGAGAGGGAGAATGGAGGTCTTGTGAGAGAGAGGTGCTACTCCAGCACGGAGATATTTATTCTATTTAAACTTATTTTAGTCTGTAGCAACCGAGCTGTTGTTCTGTACGTCCTTCATACAAGCCATTTGCTGGAAATTGTAGTTATGCATATTCTGGGTTCACACTTCACACACGAGGCCAAGTCCTAGCGCAGTGATGGCTAACCTTTTTGCCGTCATGTGCAGGGTAGTGGGGGGGGGTGTCACTCATGCGTGTGCCCACACCCATAATTCAGTGCGCCCCACCCCCCATGCATGCATGCACGACCGCCCCGTGCTCCCCCCGCTTTTGGCCCGGTGGGCCCGGTAGACCTGTTTTTCACCCTTCCCAGGCTCCAGAGGCTTTCTAGGAGCCTAAGGAGGGCGAAAATGACCTTTCCCACCCACCCACCCCTGGAGGCCGGAAACGGCCCGTTTTCCAACTTCCAGTGGGATCGGAAGTCCCGTTTTTCACCCTCCCCAGGCTCCAGAGGCTTTCTAGGAGCCTGGGAAGGGCAAAAACGGCCTTCCCCCTCCCTGGAGGCCCCCCGGAGGCCAGAAATAGCCCATCTTCTGACTTCCGGTGGGTCCGGAAGGCCCGAAAATCAGCTGGCTGGCATGCGCATGCGTGCTGGAGCTGAGCTAGGGCAATGCTCCTGTGCCCACAGATATGGCTCCATGTGCCACCTGTGGCATGCATGCCATAGGTTTGCCATCACCGTTCTAGGGTTACTATAAATTCAACTCACCCTTTTCCTTCCAAATATGATTCCAGAACATCTTCTTTTCGTCTCTAGGAAGCCTACACAAGAGTGCTGATGGGAAATATTGACTTGAGCAAGCTCGTCTTCCCACCCAGAATGTCAGGTAAGAATTTGGGAGAGAGGGGGGAAAAAAGAAAGCAAAGAAAAGCTAACATCCTTACTGATGATTTCTCAGTTTTTCTTTGCTGATGGTGAAGAAATCCAACAACTCTCACATTTTGGGCGTAAATCTAAGCAGGGTTTCCTCAAAGGGACAGAATTTAAGAGGTAATATGTAGTCTGCTCAAGCTGATGGGCTCCAGATGTGTTCTTGGAAATCTTTGGCCAGAAGGAACTGCAGCTATTCGAAGCATCTGGAAAACAGTATGTTGAAAGAAGCTGAGCTACAATAATCATCAATGAATGTTTCATTTTACCACACGTATTTTGGACTGTCTTCTCTACCTCCTAAACATCTTAGGCTTTAGAATACTTACATGTCTTTGTTTTACCGCAATACGCACCTTCCGCCGCGCCCTCAAGACCTTTCTATTTCAACAGGCTGGCCTGGCCTAACTTTCCCTTTTTAAATTGTAATTTTTAAATTTCTCTTAACCATTGGGGGTGTCTTTAATTTGTCCTGGGCCAAATTATTTAATGTGGTTTTATACTGTCTTTTAAATTTTGTAATCTATGTGTTTTATTTTTTGGCTGTTCACCGCCCTGAGTCCTTCAGGAGTAGGGCGGTATATAAATTTAATTTTTAAAAAAATAGTCTAGAACTGCATCTCCTCTATAAATTTCTACTAGATTTGTGTATCTAGTATTACCTCATAAAGTAGTCAATTTGTCGCATAGAATGATTCGGAAATGTTTTATGCAGATGTTATCTTGTGAAGCATGATCCTCAAGGCCTATCTAGCATCCCATGCGTGAAAGTCTATGATTTGGTACATTGTGAGAATCCAGCACCATGGACTTCAGAAAGAAAGGTGTCAAGAACACACAGCTACCTGGAGAACACTTCCTTTCAGAGATCTTCTACGAATCCTAAATCATAGCATTGGAAGCGACCTTGGAAAACTTCTGTTCCAACCGCCTGCTCAGAGAAAGAGCCCTCAAACCATCTGAGAGAAATGACTTCCCACAGGTTCTCCAGTGTTTAGTAATCTCACAGTTAGGAAATTTCTCATTTAGAGCTTTGGATCTCTCTGTGAAGTTTCCACCCTTGGGTTCTCGTCCTATCTTCAGACATTATGGAAAATAAATCCAGATATTTTCCCAGTGATATTCCCTTCAAGTCTTGGAAAAGCTGTTCTCGTGTCTCCCCTTAGTCTTCTCTTCTTTAGGCTAAACATACTCAGTTCTTTGAACGGTTCTTCTTAAGATTTCGCCCCCATGCTTATCATCCTCTTTGCAGCTCTTCTCTGCATGTTTCCAGGTTCTCAGCTTGAATTCTGGCCACCAAAACTGGCCACAGAATTCCATGCTACGTAGAGTGGAACTCTCACTTCCTAGGATTTCAAAATACTGCTGCCCACATTGGAGAGTTTCCTATGTACATTTGGTTATCACAGTGGGGAGCCAATGTTTGATTAAATTGGCCGCTGGCTTGTGGACTCTTTTTATATTTTTTAGAGCAAAGCTTCAACTTGCATGTATGGGGAGGGGGAAAAGAAAAGAGGGAAACCTAAATATGAAATAATAGAAAATATTTGTAGCTCGGGTTTTAGATTTTGGCAGTGGTTTGCTCTCCAAGCTTGTTTCAATTTAGTTTCTGAACATTTCGTCACCAGACTAGGTAACATCATCTGCAGGCTTTTCTTGTCCTATTCCAGAATCAAATCAAATAGAGTAAGATAGGGTAAGGTAGGGTAGGGTAGGGTAGGGTAGGGTAGGGTAAGGTAGGGTAGGGTAGGGTAAGGTAGGGTAGGGTAGGGTAGGGTAGGGTAGAGTAGAGTAGAGTAGAGTAGAGTAGAGTAGAGTAGAATAGAATAGAATAGAATAGAATAGAATAGAATAGAATAGAATAGAATAGAATAGAATAGAATAGAATAGAATAGAGTTAGAGTTAGGGTTAGGGTTAGGGTTAGGGTTAGGGTTAGGGTTAGGGTTAGGGTTAGGGTTTATTTATTTATTTAATTACATTTCTATACCACCCTTCTCCCGAAGGACTCAGGGTGGTGTACAGCCATATTAAAACAAACCCATCACAAAAATTAAAAACCGTTAAAATAAAAGAGGGAATGGAATGGAATGGTAAAAGGGTTAGGGTTAGGATTAGGATTAGGGTCAGTTCTTTATTAGCCAACTGTGATTGGACACAGAAGGAATTTGTCTTAGGTGCATAAGCTCTCAGTGTACATAAAAGATATAAGTGATGAATCATGAACATAGTCATCATAAATACATTTATCAGGAATAATAACGTGCAACGCTTAGTAATCGTCATGGGATACTAAATAAGCAATCAATAAAAATCATAATAGAAAACTAAATAAAATGTTATAAATCGTAAGGATACAAGCAACAAGTTATAGTCATAAGTAGAAAAGGAAATAGGGAATAGGAAGGATGAAAAGAATAATAGTAATACAGCCTTAGTAAATAGTTTGAAAGTGTTGTGGGAATTAGTTGTTTAGCAGAGTGATGGCATGGGTGGGGAAATTGTCCTTGTGTCTAGTTGTTCTGGTGTGCAGTGCCATATAGCGTGGTTTTGAGAGTAGGAGTTGAAACAATTTATGTCCAGGATGTGAGGGGTCTGTAGATATTTTCACAGTCCTCTTTTTGATTTTTTTTTTAAAATTATAAATAAATCAACCTAAATATTTTCCCTGCAGAGACTAAGCAAGATTTTATTTCCGCATTGCAGGGAGACTGGTGGAAGCGTTTGCTCGCCGGCCCTTATGGGAAGCTGGGTTGAATTATGGCCATGGCACCGGTCATGGCATCGGCAACTTCTTGTCTGTTCATGAGTGTAAGTGGCATGAAGACCAGGTCAGACCACATGTCTTTGGCTGTTTGGGGACAGCAGATCTGGTGGTGTAGAGGTGGGTTTCAGCAGGTTCTGACCAGTTCTGGAGAACCAGTAGTGGAAATTTTGAGTAGTTCGGAGAACCGGTAGTAAAAATTCTGACTGGGCCCGCCCCCATCTATTCTCTGCCTCTCAAGTCCCAGCTGATCAGGAAGGAATGGGGATTTTACAGTAACCTTCCCCTGGAGTTGGGTGGGAATGGAGATTTTGCAGTATCCTTCCCCTGCCACACCCACCAAGCCACACCCACCAAGCCACACCCACAGAACCGGTAGTAAAAAAATGTGAATTCCACTACTGCTTCTGACTAACAAGTTTTTTTAGTCAGCTCCATAGATTTTCAATTGGGTGAAGGTCTGGGCTATTCCTAGGCCATTCCAGCAGTGGAATAGGATTATCTTGAAACTCCCCCCAAAAAGTGGTGTTATTAGCCATCAAACCTCAAAAATCCACTTTTCCCAAAAGGTTTCCACAATTTCAGATTGCAGATTCAAGATGTTAGTTATCACCTTTAAAGCGCTCCATGGCTTAGGACCTGGGTACCTACGAGACCGTCTTTTGCCACCAATAGCCTCCCACCGACCAGTTCGTTCTCACAGGGAGGGACTACTCAGGGTACCGTCAGTCAAATTATGCTGACTGGCGACTCCCAGGGGGAGGGCCTTCTCTGTGGGGGCTCCAACCCTTTGGAATGAACTGCCCCCGGAGATACGGAATATCCCTGATCTCCGTGCTTTCCGCCGTGCCCTCAAAACCCTGATGTTCCAACAGGCGGGGCTAAACATATGAACATGTGAATGTTTTTAAATTGTTATCTAATTTTAGGTTCTATTTAATTGGGCCAAACTAAGTAATAATTTTAATTAGCAATTTTATGATGTTTGTGTGTCTATATTTTTCTTGACTGTACACCGCCTTGAGTCCTACGGGAGAAAGGCGGTATAGAAATATAATAAATAAATAAATAAATAAATTTTGGCCACTGCTATACTTGGAAAGATTCATCTCTAAAACTCCGAAGAAGGGAGTGAAGACAATTCGAAACTAGATCTAGGATTGCCACTGATGGGCTGCAAAAAAATCCAGCCAGTCATTAGAAATCAGTCAAGGTTTATTGCTTGGCTGGCATCTACTGGTAATTTGGATTTTTGTAGCTCATTAGTCCTAATTTAAGGCAATTTCTGCATAAGCTGCGTGAATGAGGTCCAATCCCATTTACTGAAATGATTGGCTTGATTGAAAGATCCACATTAATTCACTTTGCGTTTGTCACTTTGATTGTACCATCAGGGTAATTTCATTGCAAAAGACCAGCTCGATCTGGATTATTCTTCTGGGGGTTGCAGAAGAATTTTTATCAATCGAACCAGCTTGCTGTCTCCAACTCAGAAAATTGATTTGATCATCCAATTGCTGAAACGGTGTTGACTTTACGCAAGAGAGGGAGCCACACACTCCCTAATGCAGGGCTCTGCAACCTTAAACACTCAAAGAGCCATTTGGACCCGTTTCCCACAGAAAACACCGGGAGCCAAAAAACCCTTCCAGTCCCTGACTATTTCTTAAACGGCCACAAAAATTAGCATATGTAGTTGAATTAAACATTCTGTTTTCTTCCGAAAGTTTTCTTTTCTTGGATTTATCCACGGTTGGCCTACCGGGGGTTGAAAAGCTCAATAAATCGCGTGCCGGCGGATGTTGCACATTGGTGGTTGGAACGCATATTTTGAGAGACAGGGAGCCGCAGCAGAGAGGTGAAAGAGCCGCATGCGGCTCCAGAGCCGCAGGTTTCTGACCCCTGCCCTAATGTTATGTGAACGTGCTTCAGGTGTAGGCTGTGAAACACACTGAAACCATGCATGTGTGAGAGATACCTTGTCATTGTCAGGGAAAGTAACAAAAAAAAGCAGCGCCTCTTACTGTATAACCGCTTGAGATGGCCAACTAATTTTGATTTTCAGAAATAACATTTTTCTTCCCCTGTCAGGGCCTGTGGGGTTCCAGTCCAACAATGTTCCTTTGGACAAGGGGATGTTCACTTCCATAGGTAGGTCAACCATTGATTTTATTTTATTTAATTCATTTATCAAATTTATTTGCCCCCTCCCCCACATCTCATGGTTCAAGGCAGGGGTGGGCTTCAAAGGTTTTAGCAAGAGATTCTCTACCCGGTTACTGGGTGGACGTGGCCTCCTGCACCACGGTGGGGGGAGAGGGCGTTTTTGCCCTCCCCGGGCTCCGGAGGCTTTCCTCGAGCCTCCAGGAGGGCAAAAATGGCCTCCCCAGGCTCCGGAGGCCCTCTGGAGGCTGGAAATGGGCCCGTTTCCGGCCTTCCCAAACTTCCGATGGGCCTGTTTTTCGCCCTCCCTGAGCCTTCATGCGTGCCCTGCATTTACCTGCATCCAAAATGGGCCACGTGGGGACTCCTGGGAAGGGAGGGCCGGGGTTGGTAGGGCCAGCCAGGAGTGGGATTTGGGGGTTCTCCAAACTGCACAGAATCTTAGCTAGAGGTTCTCTAGAACCCCTGCGAACCCCCAGTAGCCCACACCTGGTTCAAGGTAACTCTGACTGACTTACAAGATAAAGCCTACAAACATTGGACAATCATAAATGTAACATCGGAAATATCTCAGATTTTGTTCCCTGCTCCTTTTCTTCTTTTATTTGTCTCCAGAGCCTGGTTATTATCATGATGGGGAATTTGGAATCCGTCTCGAGGATGTTGCACTCGTGGTGCCAGCTAAGACCAAGGTGAGATCCTTTTTCCAGCCTTTGATCAGTCCACTCATAACACGCCATCCATCAAAAGATCCCCTCTGGGCAGGCGGTTGGCTATGATAAGCTAGGGAAGGCAGTCCTAGCAGGTAGATATATATTGCAATGCAGAGAATAAGACTTGCAGGACCTGGAATATTAGCTGTAGATTCATCCATGGCATGCTGGAAGTCCCTGGGAAAAAAGGAATCTGGGATTATCCCAACAATTATTATGTTGAAAGGAGGAGGGATTTTTATCAGCCTTCCCCATCTTGCTGATTCCCAGATAACCATTGATTGAGAAAGTATATAGGGGAAGGGCAGGCAGAGTCAAGCAAGTAATTAGCCTAGAATCATTCCATTCCCACAAATGATCTAACCCAGGGGTGTCAAACTCAATTTTATTGAGGGCCACATCAGGGTTGTGTTTGACCTCGGGGGGGCGTGGCCGGGGTGGGTGTGGCCAGCTCAATGTCACTCGTGTCTGGGATGCCTGTTGATTCTTATCTGGTGCCAATTTAATGCTGGATGTTGGTTGACATGATTCTTGTATATAGGCACGAGCAATAAATAATCTTTACTGGAACTTAAAGGTATGGTCCCAATTCTTCTCAGCCAATAAAAACCGGCCATGAGAGCTGCAGCAGGCAATCTACTTAGGCCTGGACCCTCTTCCTATACTCCACTTATGTTTGATAATGGGGTTTTGGGAGTTGACTCCCCAAGAGACAACATGGAGAGGAAAATAAAATGTGTTATGGCAGGTAATAAAGATCTTTGGTTACTGAGCCGATTAGATGTAATCTAGAGACTTTCTAGATTACTTTCTAGAGACTCTAGAAAGAGTGCAGAGAAGAGCGATGAAGATGATTAGGAGACTGGAGGCTAAAACATATAAAGAAAGGTTGCTGGAATTGGGTAAGTTTAGTCTGATGAAAAGAAGGACTAGGGGTGACATGATAGCAGTGTTCCAATATCTCAGGGGCTGCCACAAAGAAGAGGGAGTCAAACTATTCTTCAAAGCACCTGAGGGTAGAACAAGAAGCAACGGGTGGAAACTAATCAAAGAGTGAAGCAACCTAGAACTAAGGAGACATTTTATAACAGTGAGAACAATTAACCAGTGGAACTACTTGCCTCCAGAAGTTGTAAATGCTCCAACACTGGAAGTTTTTAAGAAGAGATTGGACAACTATTTGTCTGAAGTGGTGTAGGGTTTCCTGCCTAAGCAGGGGGTTGGACTAGAAGACCTCCAAGGTCCCTTCCAACTCTGTTATTCTATTCTATTCTATTCTATTCTATTCTATTCTATTCTATTCTATTCCATTCCATTCCATTCCATTCCATTCCATTCCATTCCATTCCATCCTATATTTGTTCTATTCCATTCCATTCCATTCCACTCCACTCCATTCCATTCCCTCCTATATTTATTCTATTTATTCTATTCTATTCTGTTCTGTTCTGTTCTGTTCTGTTCTGTTCTGTTCCAATACAATACAATACAATACAATACAATACAATACAATACAATACAATACAATACAATACAATACAATACAATACAATACAATAACAATAACAATAACAATAACAATTACAACACAACACAACACAACACAACACAATACAATACAATAACAATTACAACACAACACAACACAACACAACACAATACAATACAATACATATTATGTACAGTGGTTAGAACCTCAGCTGGCACCCAGGCAGGGGATAACGCGACCCATGCACAGGATTTCAATGGAAAAACCTTTTTCTTTAATTATTTCTTGAAAAAGCAACACATACATTCTAATGAGATGCACAGTCTCCTGCACTGACTCAGAAAGCTTTCAAAGATTCCGAAATGCCAGTTGCCATCTGAAGGGCAAACCCCAGGGGCCTTGCATGTCCTACAAGAACTGAGCCTCCCTTCTTTTGATCGATTGCAGTATCCGGTGCACGAAGAGCCCTACCTGACATTCAAGGTGGTGTCCCTGGTGCCCTACGCACGGAACCTCATTAACCAGAGTCTCCTCTCTCCGGATCAGGTACTGTATTTTTCAGAGTATAAGACGCACCAGAGTATAAGACACACCTTAGTTTTTGGAGAGGAAAATAAGAAAAAAGCTGATTGGCGGGTAGATCGGCCTCCCGGAATACCCCCAATCAGCTGTTCCCAGAGGTGAATTTTAGCAACAGGTTGTGAGCTCTGTGCCTTGCTTTTTTTCCTGCCTCTGAAAGCCTCCAAAACAGAGCTTCAGAAAAAAAAAGCCTCTGAAGCAGTGGTGGGTTGCCCCCGGTTCGGACCGGTTTGCAAGAACCGGTAGTAAAACCAACGGGAGGTTCCGCCCACCGCCCCAGATGTCATCATAGGCAATCTGTGCATACGCAGAAGCCGTTGCAAACCAGTAGTAAAGGTAAGTAGAACCCACCCCTGCTCTGAAGCTCAGTTTGGGGGCTTCTTTTCTGAAGCTCTGTTTGGGGGCTTTTTTTCTGAAGTTCTGTTTGGGGGCTTCTTTTCTGAAGTTCTGTTTGGGGGCTTCTTTTCTGAAGTTCTGTTTGGGGACTTCTCTTCTGAAGTTCTGTTTGGGGCTTTTTTTCTGAAGCTCTGTTTGGGGACTTCTCTTCTGAAGTTCTGTTTGGGGACTTCTCCTTCTGAAGTTCTGTTTGGGGGCTTTTTTCTGAAGCTCTGTTTGGGGGCTTCTCTTCTGAAGTTCTGTTTGGGGGCTTTTTTCTGAAGCTCTGTTTGGGGACTTCTCTTCTGAAGCTCTGTTTGGGGGCTTCTTTTCTGAAGTTCTGTTTGGGGGCTTCTCTTCTGAAGTTCTGTGTGGGGGCTTCTTTTCTGAAGTTCTGTTTGGGGGCTTTTTTCTGAAGTTCTGTTTGGAGGCTTCTTTTCTGAAGCTTTGTTTCTGATGTTTTTTTTCAACCTCTGAAACCTCTGTTTGAGAAGCTGGGCAGGGCTACATTCGGAGTATAAGACGCACCCAGATTTTCACCCTCTTTTTTGGGGGGAAAGGTGCATCTTATACTCCGTAAAATACAGTCAGTGAGGTCTAGATGGGCAAGAGAGGATCAAGCCAAGGGACGCCATCTTGAAATTCACAACTTGTCTTTCTGCAGATCCAGTACATCAACAAGTACTATGAGACCATCCGGCAGATCATTGGGCCTGAGCTGGAGAGACGTCAGCTGAAAGAGGAACACCAGTGGCTGCAGAAGAACACGGAGCCTTTCTCTCATGCCTCCTTACTGGCAGCTTCGCTTGGCACCTTGGCAGCGAGCACACTGGCTTCTACCATTCTGCCAGGAGCCCAGCATTGATCCGGGAGCACCACACAACTTCCTTGCAACTCTTTGCCCCATCCTTAAGTCTCATCGTGTGGTCCACCTCAACCCGTATCTCACAGGCCTCCATTTTAGGCCTCTAAGCATCACTAACCATCCTTCTTCCCATTTCCATTGGCATCACCAGAGTCTCCTGATGTTCTGACCTAGGCTTCCCCAGAGCATGAAGCAGATTCCTTGTCCCGACAAAAACCCCTTTTTATTAAGTTACTGTGAATTCCTCTCATTCACATTTAGCAAAGTCTTTCAAGGGTAAATTTACAGTCACAGACCTTATCTGGCTTGGAGAGCTGCCAGGCCGATATCTTCAAAACTTGGCAAGGAGTCTCCAGAGAGTCACGAACCAATTAAGCGAACTAATTGTCTCCTGCAAACTCCCCTCCCCTTTCGCTCCTCTTTATTCCCTCTGGGAGGGGCCATTCACCGTCCACCTGTGGCTTTACTCCTGAGTCGACCCTTGTTCCTTAGCTGTTCCCTTCTCCTGGCAGCTCTGCGCATGCACACAATGGGAACAGGCTCCAGCTGTTCATCTGCCTCACTGATGTCTGACTCCGAAGGCAGCTGACAACTATCAGATGGCCCTGGCCCCATCTCTGCCTCTGACGCAGAGCACCCATCATAGCCTCCCCCAGACTCCAGGACTGGCCCATGTTCTTCCCCAACCTCCTCACTGTCTGAGTCTTCCACCAGCTCCGCTGGCTGCTGGCGGGCCATAACACTTGCATCTGATTCCAAGCCAGGAACTGTATAAACCCATTCTGTGTTTCTCTCCTGGGCGGACCTTGGGAGCCAAGGTGGAGCAGAGGCTGAAAGAAGGAAGGTGGTAATAAAATGACATCTGAAGAATTTCATTGAGTGTTATCTTTTTATGACTTGAATTAGAATTAGAATTCTTTTATTGGCCAAGTGTGATTGGACACACAAGGAATTCGTCTTTGGTGCATATGCTCTCAGTGTACATAAAGAAAAAAATAAAATATATTCAGTGGTGGGATTCAGCTAATTCGCACCACTTCAGGAGAACCGGTTGTTAACTTTCTAAACAGTTTGGCAAACTGGTTGTTGGAAGAAATCATTAGGGCAGAGAACCGGTTGTTAAATTATTTGAATCCCACTACTTAATATATTCATCGAGAATCATAAGATACAACACTTAGTAATAGTCATAGGATACTAATAAGCAATCAAATCATACTAGGAAACAATGAAAACAATATAAGTTGTAAAGATACAAGCAACATGGATATAGCCATAAGTGGGAAGACATAGGATGAGAAGAATAATAGTAATACAGTCTTAGTAAATAGTTTGACAGTGTTGTGGGAATTAGTTGTTTAGCAGAGTGATGGCATTCAGGGGAAAAACTGTCCTTTTGTCTAGTTGTTCTGGTGTGCAGTGCTCTATAGTGTCATTTTGAGAGTAGGAGTTGAAACAGTTTATGTCCAGGATGCGAGGGGTCTTTAAATATTTTCATAGCCCTCTTTTTGACTCATGCAGTATACAGATCTTCAATGGAAGGCAGGTTGGTAGCCATTGTTTTTTCTGCAGTTGTAATTTTCCGTTGAAGTCTGTGTCTGTCTTGTTGGGTTGTGTTCTGTCCCCATCTCACACACGCACACAAACAGATAGCCAGGGGTTAAATAAAACTGGCAGACAACAAATTCTTTCGATAAGAGGATTGGCAGCAACCCAGTAGCTGCTTGCCAAGAACTTTACTCATAAAGGGAGGGGTTGTTCCTCTGTCAGATAAACCCAAACAAGATACACACAGTTCAAGAGTTGTCAAGTCCAGTCCGTATTAAATCCAAGGCAGATAATGTTGTTTCAAAGATACAATGTGACTCGCTAGTAGTTAGTTTTGTCCATCACAGAGTCTGAATGGCCACCTCACCCCCTTTTATCCCCTGTGGGGTGTGGTCCGGTGACTCAGCTTAATCTCTGGCACGCCTCCTTTTCTGCTGCGTGCGCTTGTCTCTCCGATGCTGGCGTGGATCCAGCCAAGACTTATCTCCCTTCACTGTCCGACTGCGAGGAGATACCTGGCTCCTGGCCAATCTCTTCTCCTTCGGGAGACACCTGAGGCATTGCCAGAGAGGAGGGTCCTGGAGAGGGAGGCCTAGCCAACTCCACTCCTTCATGTTCGGAGCCTTCTCCCTCCGATAAATCGGCCTCGGGGATCGGAGTCACAACAGGTTGCAGAGCCAAACCAGACAGTTATGGAGGTGCAGATGACAGATTGAAATGGAGAGGGGGAAAAAAGGGCCTGCTGAATTCTGTGCACCATCTGTGCCTGGGTTGGTTCCTCGTCCCCTCATAAAAACGTCGCATAACAAAATTAGAGTTGGGGGCTAGGCGCAGAGGGGCTACTGCTGACAAGAAGAGTGGCACACTGGTGAGTGACCAGGCTAATGGTTGATTCCAGGCTGAATGGTTGATCTGCAGGCTGAAGACGAAGAAAAGTAGGAGCCCGAGATGGAAACCAATGATCAATGAACAATAGTTTAAGAGAGTGACTACAATGAATGGCCTACCTCCAAAGAAGGGTCTGACCATTTGGAAATCTAAAACTTGGAGCTTTTGCCGTGCTTCGCCACCCACTGAGTTTGCAAGTTGAAAGGGAAGCCCGCAGCAATTACCAGCTCAAAAGAGGACCTGCGCCCCCCCGCTTCCTCCCAATTTACGGCTTAGTGGTGGTGTGGGGGGGTAGCTTGGTGCTTTGCATGCAGAAAGTCTAGAGTTCCACCTTGGCCATTTGCACGGAGGTCTTCCAGAGAGGAATAGAACAGAATTTGTCCTCTGCTGGAGAGATTAGAGAACTGCTGGAAGAGGAGGGGAAGAGGAAGGGGAGGGGAGGAAGAGAAGGAGAGGGGAAAAGGGAAGAGGAAGGAGAGGAGGAGGAGGAAGGGAAGAGGAAGGGGAGGGGAGGAAGAGGAGGAAGAGGAGGAGAGGGGGGAAAAGAAGGGGAAGGGGAGGGGAGGAAGAGGAGGAGAGGGGGGAAGAGAAGGGGAAGAGGAAGGAGAGGAGGAGGAGGGGAAAGAGGAGGAGGGAAAGATGATGGGGAGGAGGAGGGGGAAGAGGAGGAGGAGAGGAAGAGGAAGGGGAAGGGGGAGGAGGAAGAGGAGAGGGGAAAGAGGAGAAAGAGAAGAGGAAGGGAAAGGAGGAGGAAAAGGGGAAGGGGGAAAAAGAGGAGGAGGAAGATGAGGAGAATTGTAAGGGGGAAAATGGCACCCTTAGAGCTGAAAACTAAGGGGGAGATTCCACAGATTGGCACAGAGATGCTGGCGAATCGCCTCTAAGTCACTGCCCTCTCGTTTGCTTTCAGACCCAAATTTATGAAAATGTTCTCCAAGGGACGAAGGTCCACAGGTGGCTCGAAGCTCTCTCGCTTCATAGACCGAGCCTCCCTACATCGTTTATTCGTACTTAGACTTTCTTCTCCTGCTTTCCGCTCGGCAGCAGTTTTCACCTGCTCTGACAGAACTTCATTTTGATTCTTTCTCACTCCGTGCTTCAGATCTCAAACGTCCTAGGAGTGACAGGGGGGCAGGAAAAAAAACATCTTCATCTGCTCAATAGTAGTAACTGTGAGAGGGATCTTGGAGTCCTAGTGGAGAACCATTTAGATATGAGCCAGCAGTGTTGCAGCAGCTGCCAAAAAAGCCAACACAGTTCTGGGCTGCATCAACAGAGGGATAGAATCAAGATCACGCGAAGTGTTAATGCCACTTTATGATGCCTTGGTAAGGCCACACTTGGAATACTGCATCCAGTTTTGGTCGTCACGATGTAAAAAAGATGTTGAGACTCTAGAAAGAGTGCAGAGAAGAGCAACAAAGATGATTAGGGGACTGGAGGCTAAAACATACAAAGAACAGTTGCTGGAATGGGGTATGTCTAGTTTGATGAAAAGAACGACCAGGGGAGACATGATAGCAGTGTTCCAATCTCTCAGGGGCTGCCACAAAGAAGAGGGAGTCAAGCTATTCTCCAAAGCACCTGAGGGCAGGACAAGAAGCAATGGATGGAAACTCATCAAGGAGAGAAGCAACTTAGAACTAGGGAGAAATTTCCTGACAGAACAATTAATAAGTGGAACAACTTGCCTGCAAAAGTTGTGAATGCTCCAATGTGCAAGTTTTGTGCTTCCAATGTGGAAGTTTTTAAGAAGAGGTTGGATAACCATTTGTCTGAAGTGGTGTAGGGTTTCCTGCCTGGGCAGGGGGTTGGACTAGAAGACCTCCAAGGTCCCTTCCAACTCTGTCATTCTGTTCTATTCAGAATAGCTGAGACAGGGCGGGGGTCGTAGAGGCCCCCCCAACCTAAATAATTTGCCCAAACTTGCTGCACGAAACCAGAGTGGTGCAAGCTGGTTGCCCACCAAAGTCAGATGACACCAATGTACACACATTTCATCAGAGCAGCCAAGCTCACACGTGGAGAGAATGGCGCACAAATTTTTACTGAAATCCGCTTCAACGTTTTGCCAGGAAGTGACATGTTTTGTGACCTTTATGTGCAAATCATTATTCTGCATAAAGAAAAAGGGGAGAAGAAAGAACCTCATTATAACTTTATTAATTATGGATGTTATTCAACTTTGATATTTAAGGTGGAAGGGAAGCCACAGACTGGGAATGTAATCCTGTCCTAATTATCTGGATCTGAAAGATTAAAGATTGTTTCAAGTCCAGCTTGGCTCTTGGTGACTTTGGGGCATCGCTGTGTAGCTGTCTTAGCAGTACGGAAGTTGTACGATGGTTTTTTTTTTTTAGACAGTTTGGGGATGAAAAGATTAAAATCCGTGAAACTGTAGGCTATAAACAGCAATAAAACAATACAATTCTCTCCCTCTCTCCCTCTCTCTCCTTCTCTCTCCCTCCCTGTCTCTCTCTCCCTCCCTGTCTCCCTCCCTCCCTCTCTCTCTCTCTCTCTCTCTCTCTCTCTCTCTCTCTCTCTCTCTCTCTCTCTCTCTCTCTCTCTCTCCACACGGTATATAGGATACTGCAAAATCTCCATTCCCTCCCCACTCCTGGGGGAAGGATATTGCAAAATCTCCATTACCACCCCACTCGGGAGCCAGCCAGAGGTGGTATTTGTCGGTTCTCCGAACTGCTCCAAATTTCCACTACCAGTTCTCCAGAACCTGTCAGAACCTGCTGGATTTCACCCCTGGTATATACAGAGAGAGGTGGGGAAAATTAGCATATAACTTGCATTCAAATGGAACAAAACCTGATTTGTAACTTTTAAAATACTACCAAGAAGATCTTAGTTCTTACCATTTTTAATTCAAATTCAAAATTTTGCCAGAGGTTATGACTGAAATAAATTCACTCAATCCTTGGTGATCTTTTTTTCCCCAACCTGTCAGAAGTAATAGATGCAGTTCCTGGTTTCGTTTGCAAAAAAAGGTTGAAGAATCTTCAAAGCAGCAAGCTCGTAGTTCTGCTGAGAGGTGGGTTGGGGAATGTTATGAAGGTAAAAGAAGGAATTGCTTCCCTGCACCAAATATGAAAAACCGGTTAAAAATTAAGGAAAAGAGAGGCATTGTTAGATGCCCCAGTTCTCTGCTGTGACTGATCTAGCCATCACCGTAAATCTAGGGATCTGAGCTGCAAAGATCCAGAAGACCACAAGAGGGTAGCAAAGGGTTAGATGTTCCTGTCTCTCTGCTGCCATCTGGTGGATGTCCATACATTCTGATAGTTCTGCCAATCTCAATAAAACCGAAGTGTTCAGCCTTGTCCTACATCAGAAGTGTCCAACCTTGACAACTTTAAAGCCTGTGGTCCAGGGGTGAAATCCAGCAGGTTCTGACAGGTTCTGGAGAACCGGTAGCGGAAATTTTGAGTAGTTCGGAGAACTGGCAAATGCCACCTCTGGCTGGCCCCAGAATGGGGCGGGGTTGGAGATTTTGCATTATCCTTCCTCTGCCACGCCCACCAAGCCACACCACGCCCACCACGCCATACCCACAGAACCGGTAGTAAAAAAAAAATGGATTTCACCACTGCTGTGGTCTGTAGAGATTCTCAGTCATTCAGGTCATGGTTGTCCTAAAGGTGCTTTTTCAGGAAGCAACTGGACTTTCTTGTTTTTCTTTGAAGACGTTTCGCTTCTCATCTAAAGAAGCTTCTTCAGCTCTGACTGGATAGTGGGGAGTGGAAGGATTGATATTCCTTGCAGACACCAGACTTTTAGCTATACAATTTGGGATGAACAGCCTTTGAACGGTGTGGGAGTAAGAATGGATTTTCCAGAGGGAAAAAAATTGCAGACTACAGGAACCATTTGCGCTACTCAGGTGACCCTGAGGACACAGATAAACCTCCAAGCGCTTCAACGACCCTCTAAAAGGATGCTAAGGACCAGCTGTCTGCAAGGCATATCAATCCTTCCATTCCCCACTATCCTGTCAGAGCTGAAGAAGCTTTTTTGGTTTTAAAGCCTGTGTGGATTTTAATTCCCAGAATTCCCCAGCCAGTCAGTGCTGGTTGGAGAATTCTGGGAGTTCAGATCCACAAATCTTTAAAAAGAAAAGCTGCCCCAAAACACTTCTCCCTCCCTCCCTCCCAAAGTCATCTATCTTTTTTTGTAGCTTCAGACGAGGCCAGTCCTCATGAACGTCAGGTTGCCACTTCCTTCCTGTTCAAAATGTGCAAGCGCAGGGCTGGGTCTCGCTTTCAACTCTTGCAGAGGCCCAGCTGCTGGGAAAGGAGGTCCATGTGATGCACTGATTTCCTGCCTGTTTCCTGGCCTCTGGGCTTCTTGCGGTCCTCTGCTCTCTCTCTCTCTCTTGCTCTCTCTCTCTCTCTCTGGCGGTCCTCCTGCATCACCCATCCATGAATTAAGGCTCTTTGGAGGTGGCACCATGCTGCGTCGGAAGCCATCCAATGCCAGCGAGAAAGACCCGGTCCAAAAGAGGAAGGTGAGTTGGGGGAAGGTCTGTCTGAAGCCCTCGCAGGGCAACTGCCCGGCTGATCCATTGAGATGGACTGCAACAAGGCAATGAAGAAGGCAGCATGGATTCCCTTCCCTACCTTGGGTGTAGACCCTCCAAATGTAGAGTTTGTAGGACTTCGGAGAGGGATGCTTTGTGTCAAGTTAGGAGATGAAGAATCAAAGACCCCTCAGGGGGAATTTGAGTCCTGCCTGACCCCTTAGAGGCATCCACACCAGTTGCCCCCTCTGTGTTTTGAATGCTGTCATCAAGCTCTTGTGTCCCTTCTAAAAAAGATGTGGAGACTCTAGAGAAGAGCAACAAAGATGATTAGGGGACTGGAGGCTAAGACATATGAAGAACAGTTGCAGGAACTGGGTATGTCTAGTTTAATGAAGGGGTAACATGATAGCAGTCTTCCAATATCTCAGGGGCTGCCCCAAAGAAGAGGGAGTCAAGCTATTCTCCAAAGCACCTGAGGGCAGGACAAGAAGCAATGGGGGAAAACTAATCAAGGAGAGAAGCAACCTAGAACTAAGGAGAATTTTTTTAAAAAAAAAACAAGTTTTATTGGTTCCCCCACATTTACCCCTACAGAGTATTGGCCATATCTTATCTTATACAATTAATCAAATTCAAATACATTTTACTCAATTACAGTTTTTGCCAAAATCTTTTTTCCCCTTTTCTTTTATCATGTCTCAATATTGCTATGCTTGCTTACATGAACAACATCTTCATTTGCCCTTAAATTCTAATTATTGCTATTTATTCATATTTGTTCTCTTTTATTCTTTAAACAATTCATTCTTTATCTTAATATCTTTATATTTGTTCGTGGTTGCCTTTCTTCCATTTCATTTTTTTTTTTATTGTACAGCAATCTTTCTCCTCAAACCTACCACCTCTCTCTTTTCTTAAGGAGAAATTTCTTGACAGTTAGAACAATGAATCAGTGGAACAACTTGTTGCGAATGCTCCAAATGGGAAGTTTTTAAGAAGATGTTAAATAACTATTTGTCTGAAGTGGTGTAGGGTTTCCTGCCTAGGCAGGGAGTTGGACTAGAAGACCTCCAAGGTCTCTTCCAACTCTGTTTTTCTATTTCTATTCTTGATCTACCCACGTGGCGCAGAGAGGTCCACTCCATCGGGGATGCCGTCACAACCACCCAAAGCATTTTCAAGAGCTCTTGCAGCTGGAGCAGTAAGGTGTGTGGGTCACACTAACGAAGAGGGGGCATGCAAGGAGTGAGAGATGCATTCTGCAGAGGGAGAAGGGGGGATATTGTAACTGCCCAAAGACGTGAACCGTTTTGAATAACAGTGCTTGGATGTGGTTTGGCTGTGCTGCTTTCTGCTGTCAGTACAAGTTTCGTGATAACAGTGGCACTCATATAAATCTCTGGGTAGTGAGGTTGGGTTTAACATCAGGACTGTTCCAGTAATCCACCAGAATCTACTGTTAGAACACACAATGATCTTCCTCCAATCGTAAGGATTCCTTACCTGTGCTGTACCAAAATCTGACTTTTAACTTTTCACAAGTTCGTTCTTTCTTTTCTTTTTCTTTCTTTCTTTCTTTCTTTCTTTCTTTCTTTCTTTCTTTCTTTCCTTTCTTTCTTTCTCTCTTTCTTTCTTTCCTTTTCTTTTTCTTTCTTTTCTTCCTTCCTTCCTTCCTCTCTCTCCCCTCCTTTCCTTCCCTTCCCTTCCCTTTCTTCTTTCTTTTCCTTCATTCCTCCCTTTCTTTTTCTACTTTTCTAACTTATTCTTGGGGATTCGGATTTCCCCCCCCCCCCCCACACCACTTCAGACAAATGGTTATCCAACATCTTCTTAAAAACTCCCAGTGTTGGAGCTTTCACAACATGTATGATCTATATTCCATTCCAGTAACCGAAAGACAGCTCAGGGTTCTTTCGTGTTCAAACTCTATATTTTGCCCTGTCAACCCTGCCTCTTTTTGATCTCACAGTAGCCTCTGGAGCCATCAATCATAGATAGCATCCTCTTGGACCGTCAGCTCTTCGAGCTAGCCCAGACAAGAAACCAAAACTATGAGTACTATCACAATTCTACCTTTATTGTAAAGTTAGATTTATGGGGCCAATGGCCTACAGTAATACCTTGGTACTCATCCTTAATTGGTTCCGGGAAGTGCGATACGTTCCAAAAACGATGAGTACCAAACAAATTATTCCTATAAGAAATAACATCGTGAGTCACAAGGCAGCCAACGTTGATATGTTCTCGCTTGTACGTTGAGTACCAAACAAACAACAAGTACCAAGACAAAATTTTCACGTCAAAATGCACTGAGTACCAACTTCGATGAGTTTCAAAACAGTTGAGTACTGAGGTACTCAACTGCATTTCCAGATAAACCTCTCTTTTTTTGTTGCTGTTTTAAGATCAATCAATCAATCAATCAGAATAGAGCTGGAAGGGACCTTGGAGGTCTTCTAGTCCAGCCCCCTGCTCAAGCAGGAGATCCTATGCCATTTCAGACAAGATGATGCACAAGTTTAATCCCTTGGAAGCAGCTTCCTACCAGAATGTGAGAAGACTGTAGATTATCTTTAGGAAGAGGTTGGATAACCATTTGTCTGTAGTGGTGTAGGGTTTCCTGCTTGAAGGGGGTTGGACTAGAAGACCTCCAAAGTCCCTTCCAACTCTGTTACTCTGTTGTTGCCGAGCCATGCAATGCGACCTCTTATGGTCAAGGCTTAGCTTACTCTGCTTACTCTGTAAAGTTAGCTGTTGTTTGTAAACCCTGGTTTGGATAGAAAGTTGTATGGACCCAGCCAGTTTTGGTTTAAGTAAGGTAGGCTTAAGATAAACAGTGGCTTAGCATAATGCATATAAGCTTAGCAAGCAACTATTAACCTTTGTTTTAAAAACAAGGATGAAGGGCTGAAAGAAACCAGTTTCTCTGCTTTTTTATTAATAATACAAAATTAAAAAAACATTGGACATAGATATGACATCACTGGTTTCCAAACATCTTCCGTCACTTTACAATAAGATTAGTACTCATATAAACATATAGTTCTTAAACATATATTTATCTATAATAACATCTATATTTTTGTTCTAACACTATACACTTGTCTTGGCTACCCTCTTGTTATCTATCCAATCATAAAATTGTTCCCAGATTTTGTAGTATTTAGTTTCGCTTTTATCCTTGAGTTCCAAAGTGAGTCTGTCCATTTCTGCGCAGTTAAAGATTTTCAGTAATATTTCCTCTTCAGTTGGAATATCTTTCTCTTTCCATTTTTGAGCGAAGGCTATTTGTGCCGCTGTAAGTATATGCAGTAATAAATAGTTTCTATTTTTCTTATATTTTCTTTCTATAATTCCCAGTAAGAAAAATTCCGGTTTGACTTCTATATTTGTTGACAAAATTTCTTCCAGCCAGTTCTTTAGTAAATTCCAAAATTTTTGCATTCCCACCACATGTGGTAGTAATTCCCAAGGGTCTCTCCACACTTCCAGCATATCGAGGATTTCCCCTTATTCATTCATGCTAATCTTGTGAAGGGGAGGTGCCACCTATAAAACCAGTTTCTCTGCTTGTTGGGTCTTCCTTAAAACCCCTTTTTTAAAATACATCTCCTTTATCATCTCCCTTTATTTCCTCCCCTTCTTTCAAGGACCCCAATTCTACAGTTTGAAGAGATGAGCTTAATGTCAACACAAAATCAGCTTGGCAACAGGTTAATTTCAGGGGAAGGTGTCCATCTCAGTCTACTGCATGCATACCAAGCTACAACTTGCAGTCAGGGAGTCTTCAAATAGCCTCTGGGTTTTTCAGAGAGTAGCAGCTACACAATTTGGGGACAAACTTTGCAAACATCACAGGGTGTCCCCCCTGCAATGTAAGGGGCCTCCAGAATAGTGGCTGGGGCTGCCGCTAAGGGTTAGTGGTATATTTAGGTCAATGGTCTGTAGTTCCTGCTCTTCCAAGGAAGAAGACTGACTTCTCGCTTAGTTCTTGCTAACTGATATTTGCATGGGCGTATCTGAATGTGGAACTAAGGTTGCAGCTCAGCATCCTGTAGTTGCCTCTCTCACCTCAGCATCCTGGACTCACCCATATGCACTGAGGCATGTATTTGGGTTTCTGGGCTCTCAGCACATGCCTTTCCAGGAACACCCAAAAGTGGCAATGCACCTGTTGGCATGAACATGTGTCTTCTTCTTCTTTCTTCTTCTTCTTCTTCTTCTTCTTCTTCTTCTTTCTTTTCTTCTTCTTCTTCTTCTTCTTCTTCCTTCTTCTTCTTCTTCTTCTTCTTCTTCTTCTTCTTCTTCTTCTTCTCCTCTTTCTCCATCTCCTTCTCCTTCTCCTTCTCCTTCTGCTTCTATGTTTTTGATTTAGCAAAAGCTTCTATAAACAGAACAAGTTCTCCTTCTCCTCCTCTTCCTCCTCCTTGCCTGGATTAACAAAGTTTCAGAAGTGGTTTGCCCTTGCCTCCTTCCTAAGGCTGAGAGAAAGAGACTGGCCCCAGGTCAGTACCCAAAGCAGGACTAGAACTCACTGCCTCCTAGTTTCTAACCTAGTGCCTGAACCACTACACCAAATTGGTTCTTTGGTTTCTGCAGAAAGTGGGTTTCTACAGACCCTTGTTGCTGTTGTTGTTTAAAAAAACAGAAATCAACCCACCCCCATTGCTGCTTTTTGCTACTCTCCCAGGTGTCTGGATTCTGGAAACTGCAGTTGCTAGTCACCTGATGCTAACCCACTTCCTCTGCACGGTATTGATCTACGTGTCGATTTTGAGCAACTCTGCAAAAAAAGAGAGAAAGAGAAAGAGCTGCAGAGGAGGGGGGAGGGGCAGTCAGTCAGAACATAGCTAGATCAACTTAGAAAAAGCATCCGGACAACCCAGTATTCAGAAGTGAGCAGTGCTGACCAGGTGGTTTCTCCTATAGCAGGGGTCAGCAACCTGCGGCTCTGGAGCCGCATGTGGCTCTTTCATTCCTCTGCTGCGGCTCCCTGTTGCTGGTCAGCTCCACAATTGATAGGGCTTTCGGTTAGGACAGATAGAGAAAAAAGGATGCCACACTAGGAAGAGACTCTATGGTGGGGGAACCAGACTTCTGGTTGACTCCAGAGTTGAATGGGGGGGCTTCCAGTTAGGACCTTTGTGGCTCTTTGAGTGTTTAAGGTTGCCGACCCCTGTCCTATACAGATGTGTAGAGGTACCGAAGACAATTCTGCTCTTGGAATTCATTCGTTGAGTACCCCAGGAGGTAGGAATACACAAGCATTTTTAAAAAAACACCTTTTAATGAAATTGCAAAAAAAACAACAACCCAGAAATGGCTAGGCAGAGGCGAGATGCTATTTGAAGCCCCAGATTTGGTCTTGGAAAGAAAGAGCATCAAAAGCTTTTCCCTTCATGTAACTATGTATGAAATTGCCAGCCTGCCAGTTTTGGTCGTCATGATGTAAAAAAGATGCTGAGACTCTAGAAAGAGTGCAGAGAAGAGCAACAAAGATGATTAGGGGACCGGAGGCTAAAACATATGAAGAATGGATGCAGGAACTGGGTATGTCTAGTTTAAGGAAAAGAAGGACTGGGGGAGACATGATAGCAGTGTTGCAATATCTCAGGGGTTGCCCCAAAGAAGAGGGAGTCAAGCTATTCTCCAAAGCACCTGAGGGCAGGACAAGAAGCAATGGGTGGAAACCCATCAAGGAGAGAAGCAACTTAGAACTAAGGAGAAATTTCCTGACAGTGAGAACAATTAACCAGTGGAACAGCTTGCCTCTAGAAGTTGTGAGTGCTCCAACAATGGAGCTTTTTAAGAAAAGATTGGACAACCATTTGTCTGAAATGGTATAGGGTTCCCTGCCTGAAAAGGGGGTTGGACTATAAGACCTCCAAGGTCCCTTGCAACTCTGTTGTTCTGCCTTTCATTCAGGAGCCAGGGAGTCTATATAGCGATCCCTCTTCCATGTTTTCACCTCAGTCCCTTGTAATCGTTTGAGCTGAAAGGGAACAAATCAGGGGTGAAATCAAGCAGGTTCTGACAGGTTCTAGAGAACCGGTAGCGGAAATTTTGAGTAGTTTGGAGAACTGGAAAATACCACCTCTGGCTGGCTCCAGAGTGGGGTGGGAATGGAGATTTTGCAATATCCTTCCCCCAGGAGTGGGATGGGAATGGAGATTTTGCAATATCCTTCCCCCAGGAGTGGGGAGGGAATGGGGATTTTGCGGTATCCTTCCCCTGCCATCAGAGGTGGGTTTTTCAGCAGGTTCTGACCAGTTCTGGAGAACCGGTAGCAGAAATTTTGAGTAGTTCGGAGAACACGTAGTAAAAATTCTAACTGGCCCCGCCCCCATCTATTCTCTGCCTCCCAAGTCCCAGCTGATCAGGAGGAAATGGGGATTTTGCAGTAACCTTCCCCTGGAGTCGGGTGGGAATAGAGATTTTACAGTATCCTTCCCCTGCCACGCCCACCAAGCCATGCCACGCTCACCAAGCCACACCCACAGAACCGGTAGTAAAAAAAAAATGAATTCCACCAGTGGAACAAATGGTCCAGGATCACCCAATGAGTTTCTATAGTTCAGTGTGGGCTTGACCCCCAAGTGTCCTGACTCTTATCCCAGCACCACATCACATTGGCTTTTTAATTAACAATCTTCTAGAGTTCATCTTTCTGAAGAAGTCTTACTTCCGCCTCTGATATTGAGTCATAATTCCACCATGCCATTCCACCTCTGTCAAAAGCCGCTCTTGTTCCAAGTTGAGGGTTTAGCCTGTTCTTCCTTAAACATCAGCCTCATTATTATAATCATCCCTCCATTGTCAGGCAGGCAGGCAGGCACACCAAAGAACAGGACCTGGTCCCAAGGACTTTATAATTACCGGTATAACTCATTTCTAAAATCTGTAAAGAGCCCACTGTAACAACATTGCCAAAAAGGCATGAAGAGTTGTTAACCTAATCTTGCATAGCTTCTTCTCTGGTAATGTTGTACTAACTAGAGCATACAAAACATTTGCTAGACCAATTCTTGAATACAGCTCATCTGTCTGGAACCCTCACTGCATATTGGACATAAATACAATCGAGAGAGTCCAGAGATATTTTACAAAAACAGTCCTCCATTCCTCTAACCGCAATAAAATACCTTATGCCACCAGACTTCAAATTTTGGGCTTAGACAACTTAGAACTACGCCGACTTCAGTCTGACCTAAGCAAAGTACATAAAATTATCTGCCACAATGTCCCTCCTGTCAATGACTACTTCAGCTTCAACCACAACAATACATGAGCAAATAATAGATACAAACTCAAGGTCAACCGTTCCAAACTCAATTGCAGAAAATATGACTTCAGTAACAGAGTGGTCAATGCCTGGAATGCACTACCTGACTCTGTAGTTTCTTCCCCAAACCCCCAAAACTTTAACCTTAAACTGTCTACTGTTGACCTCACCCCATTCCTAAGAGGTCTGTGAGGGGTGTGCATAAGTGCACCAGCGTGCCTTCCGTCCCTGCTCTAATATTCCTTTTTACTCTTACTTTTTTCATGTATTCAAATTATGTTTATACTTTTACCTGTTTTGTTATACATGCTTGACAAATAAATTTAGGAATATGAATATAATCTGAAAAGTGACAGGTTCCATCAGAGGATGGGGTGGGGGCAGGGCAAATAGGCAGCAAAATGTGTGTATTTTCAGCTACAGGAACCGGTTTAGAAGAAACGGAGGTGGGAAGTAGGACTTAATATTTTTTATGTAACCTTCTGCATCTTCCAGCTCTCGCTGATTGATTGCCTCTTCTTCTGGGGGAGGGAGCCACATCTGTGCACACATGTTTGCCTTCCCGTGTAAGAGGCACCGAGGGAAGGAGAAGGCAAAAGAACAATGGTCTCCGGGCAACTCCATCCACTTCTGGTTTGCAGCTCCATCTGCTAACTCCTCTCGCCGAGAGTACTGTAAGATGCCCAGAATCACGGATGTGAGATGGGCGGCTATAAAAAATAAAATAAAATAAAATAAAATAAAATAAAATAAAATAAAATAAAATAAAATAAAATAAAATAAAATAAAATAATAAAATAAAATAAAATAATATAATATAAAATAAAATAAAATAAAATAAATAAAAAACAATGGAGAGGGCTGCAAGATTCCCAAGGCCCGTTGGCTTTCTCTGCTCTGCAATCCATGCTATTCCTGACCATCTCTGCCTTCTTTCTCCCCACAGCTGTCGCTGCAGCGGTCCAGCAGTTTCAAAGATTTTGGCAAATCCAAACCCAGCTCCCCGCTGGCGAACAACAAGGCATTCAGCCTCGAAGAGGAAGAGGTAACACCCCATCCATCTCCCACAAACCTGGGGCTCAGGGTTGGGTTTCACTTACCTTTACCACCACTTCACCCCGCGCATGGTGTACGCGCATGTGCCCAGCCTTTCGTGCATGCGCTTTGCTTGCTCGCGTGCCTTCTGTGCATGCACCCAGCCTCGAAAACGTGCCTAAATAGCATGACTTGGAGCCGGAGTGGGTGGGTGGGCGGGCCCAGCCACGATCGCCGCTACCGGTTCGCATGAACCTGTGCGAACTGGCTGAATACCACCTCTGCTTGGGCTCCTCTCTTCTGCCCTTTCAATGACAGCTCGGTTGGCTTCTCATCGTCCCCCTTTGCCACCAATCCTGGCTCACGTCCCTCTCTTATCAGTAGCCAAATTCTTCCCAACCGTATCTTTAACTTTCTCCATCGCTCTAACCTTACAGCAGGGGTCTCAAACTCAAGGCCCGATGTGGTCGGCGATGTGGTTGGATCCGGCCCGCAGGGCCGTCCTAGCAGAGGTGGGTTTCAGCAGGTTCTGACCAGTTCTGGAGAACTGGTAGCAGAAATTTTGAGTAGTTCGGAGAACCGGTAGTAAAAATTCTGACTGGCCCCGCCCCCATCTATTCTCTGCCTTCCAAGTCCCAGCTGATCGGGAGGAAATGGGGATTTTGCAGTAACCTTCCCCTGGATTGGGGAGGGAATGGAGATTTTGCAGTATCTTTCCCCCGGAGTGGGGTGGGAATGGAGATTTTACAATATCTTCCCCTGCCATGCCAACCAAGCCACGCCCACCAAGCCATGCCATGGCCACCAAGCCATGCCATGGCCACCAAGCCATGCCACGTCCACCAAGCCATACCCACAGAACCGGTAGTAAAAAATTTTGAAACCCACCACTGCGTCCTAGTCTACCCAATGCAAAGAGGAAATATGCCAGCAGTTTGGGGAATGGCGTCAAGGTGGCCATGCCCATGCAGTTGGCCACGACCACCCAGCCAGCCACACCCACCCAGCTGGCCATGCCCCCCCAGCCCCCCCCAAGGTCAACCGCAGCCCTGATGCAGCCCTCAATTAAATTGAGTTTGACACCTCTGCCTTACAGGTAGTTCTCCACTTATGACCAAGACTGGGAACTTCCACCCATTGCTAAGCCATAACCGTGGCCAATTTTATGACCTTTTTGGCACCGCTCATTAAGCAAATCACACAATTAATTATTAAATAAATCTGGTTACCCCCCCCCCCCCATTGACTTTGCTTGTTGGAAGTCAACTGGTAAGATCACTAATGATGATCATGTGATTCTGACATGCTGCCATCATGGTTAACACAATGTTGCCAAGCATCCAAATTTTTATCTGCACTATGATTGCACTGAGAAGGGCAAGACTGGTCATCAGTCCCTTTTTTCAAGCTCATCTTAAGTTCAAATGACCACTACACAAGTGGTAAATTCAGGACTACCTATAGTTGTAGTCTACTGGTTGGCCAAAGAAACTGTTTGCTTTCTGAAAGGCAGACTCCATCTGATATTGAGTCCAAAATCAGTGTCCCAAGCTAGGAAGGTCCATTCCTGAATTCAATTCATCCAAGCCCATAACAATGAGGAGTCATCTTCTCCCTTCCTGGAAAGCCAAGGTCCATGGTTCTCTCTGCAGGTTCTTGAAGGTAACCCACCACCTAGCCCGGATGACGTGGGACGCTCAAAGCTGGGCAAGAGATGGAGAGCCGCCATTTCCCGGACCATGAACCGGAAGACGGGCAAGGCAGTCGCTAAAACATTGGTAGATCAGGTGAGAGACGAAACCGTGTCCACTCCACCCGGGATTTGTGTGTGTTTGAGCGAGAGAGTTGTATAGGATGTCTCCTTCCAAAAAGTCTCACTATCTCACCGTTGCCCAGCATTTAACTTCTTCCTCTAAACCTATTTGCATGCTCTCTCTCTTACACACACACACGCACACACTTCCTTCTCCGTGTGGTTTTGTGAAAGCAGAAAAAAAAGAGCATGCAACAGAGAAGGCTTGCAGGTTCTGCTTGTGAGCTCTTCAGCAGGTAACCAACCCAAGGATGCGGGCTTCTGTTGCTACCTAGATACTGAACCCATCTCCACCCAGCCGCAGCGCGAATGTGCCTCATTTTTTTTTATATAGCCTAAAATAGATTTAAGGGTGGTTACATGAAATGAAATCTCCTTTCTACCCCATGAGACAGTTCCTTTTGTTTTGTTCTTGTCTCATATCCCCAAATCTCACTATATTCCCCACTTGTGCCAAGTGCAGATGGGCAATGATATTTGGCCGGTCCGTAGAAGAGTGGATGCGAATCAAGTATCGTGTTGCAAATGATTAACGGGGAGCTCCCGGGAAGATAACTTCAACCAGGAGTTGCTCCTCAACCCCTTTTAGAGCAACAGTTGTGGCCCACCAGCTGGCAGCAGACTCAGACAATGAGGAGGCTGGGGAGGAACTTGGGCCAGTTCTGGAGTCTGGGGAAGGCGCTGATGGATGCTCTGTGTCAGATGCAGAGATAGAGCCAGGGCCATCTGACATTTGATAGAGCCCCTGGAGAGGCAGCTGCCTTTGGAGGCTGATATGAGTGAGGAGCAGGAATAGCTGGGGCCTGTTCCAGATGCATGTATGCCCAGAGCAGTTAGGAAAGGTGAGCAACGGAGGACAAGGAGTCGACTCGGGAAGCAAAGCACATGTGGATGCTGAATGGCCCCTCCCTGGCTGGGGAATAAATAGAAGAAAAGGGGAGTTGGTTGTCGTAGGAGACAACCGTTCGTATTTCTGAAGATTTTGCTCATTGTGTTTCGTGCCACAAAGACTGCTTGCCAGAACTTACTTTGCAGCCTTTCGGCTGGGAACTCACGGCCTGGCAACGATTGCAAGGAACTGATAATGTCTGTTACTGCAGTTAACTCTTTGAAGGACTATTGACTGTTTTCGGTGGGTGAATGCCATTAATTCACAAGAGGTAAATAAAGAGGGGTTTTTCGTGACAAGGAGTCTGTTTCTTGCTTCTGCTAAGGCTGGCTCAGAACAGCAACCTGTTGACCTGTGGAGTATGAAATGTGCAGTTCCTTCTTTTTAAATGCTCTTGTGTGTGCAACATGCTCTCTTCCTCTTTCCCAAAAAAGCATGCCTTGGGCTTCATGGAAGGCAGGCCTTCAAAGGAAGCAAGGGTCAAACATAGCAACCATGGCCAACTGTGTTTCTGTCTTGGGAAGAAAGAGTTCTCCATAGTTTCACGTTCATCTTGCAGGGACACGATGAATCCGAGACTCCTGCGTCTCCAGCCCACAGTCCTGTTGAAGAAGACCTTCCCATCTTTCCAGTCACAACTCAGGAGACTAACAGCCCCAGTGCCTCCAACGGTAAATGGCTCACCCATCTTAGATTAGATTAGAATTCTTTATTGGCCAAGTGTGATTGGACACACAAGGAATTTGTCTTTGGTGCATAGGCTCTCAGTGTACATAAAAAGACAAGATACGTTCATTATGAGGTACAGCACTTAGTGATAGTCATAGAGTACAAATAAGCCATCAAATCATACTAGGAAACAATCAATATAAATTGTAAGGATACAGCAACAAGTTACAGTCATACAGTCATAAATGGAAGGAGATGGGTGGTGGGAACGATGAGAAGATGAATAGAAGTGCAGACTTAGTGAATAGTTTGACAGTGTTGAGGGAATTATTTGTTTAGCAGAGTGATGGCATTCAGGTAAAAACTGTTCTTGTGTCTAGTTATTCTGGTGTGCGATGTCCTATAGCGTCGTTTTGAGGGTAGGAGTTGAAACAATTTATGTCCAGCCCTCTTTTTGACTTGTGCAGTATACAGGTCCTCAATGGAAGGCAGGTTGGTAGCAATTGTTTTTTTCTCCAGTTCTAATTATCCTCTGAAGTCTGTGTCTGCCTTGTTGGGTTGCAGAGCCAAACCAGACAGTTATGGAGGTACAGATGACAGACAGCTTCAATATAACCTTCCTTCCTCTTTCTCAAGACTAAGCCATCCGTCTTCTTGTCTTCAGGAGATTCAGCTTCTGGCCTCCGATAGTCCTTTCCTAAACCTATTCTGGTTTACCGTGTCCAGAACCAGATATAATATTCCAGAGATAGGGTTCATCTAATATAGAATCATCATCTTCTTTTAACAACCGCATAATCCCATGCGAGGTGGAGTCTGGGCAACTGAATGGAGCTGGCCGGATGCCCTTCCTGTCACCAATGCAGAGTTTTGTTCAGCAGATACATTCTCAATATAGAATGAAGTGCAAATATTTCTTAACAAACCCTAGAACTGCATATGCAGAATAACGATTCTGGTAGTTTATAGGATGGAGAAACTCACCCTAAGCCGAACTCAGTACAGATAGTCCTCGACTAATTTTGGAGCCCAAAATTTATGTCGTTAAGCGAGACGTTTGTTAAGTGAGTTTTGCTCCATTTTAACCGCCTTTCTTGCAATTGTTAAGTGAATCACTGCAGTTGTTAAGGTAGTAACATAGTTGTTAAGTGAATCTGGTTTCCCCATTGACTTTGTTTGGTCACAAAAGGGGATCACATGATCCTGGGACCCTGCAACCATCATAAATATGAGCCAGTTGCCAACGGTCTGAATTTTGATCATGTCACCATGGGGGTCATTCTGCAATGATATGAAAAAAATGGTGATAAGTCACATTTTTCAGTGACGTCGTAACTTTGAACAGGTCACTAAACGAACTGTTGTAAGTCGAGGACTACCTGTGTTAAACCGTCTCCAAGCTGCCATTGAGTCAGCTAACGTTTCTTTCTCCTGGCTCTTGTCCCCTTCTAGAAAGGGAATTGTTCAGTCCCACCATGAGCAGCCACTGCAGCAAGGAAGAGATCATCTCTACCCCGTACAACGGACCCTTCTGTGGAAAAGCCAAGGTTCACACGGATTTTATTCCCAGCCCTTATGACAAGGACTCTCTGAAACTTCAGGTGAGTGCTTTGCATTTCTCTATGGCAGCAGTCAGCAACCTGCGGCTCTGGAGCCGCATGTGGCTCTTTCATCCCTCTGCTGCGGCTCCACAATTGATAGGACTTTCGGTTAGGACAGGTAGAAGAAAAAAGGATGCCGCACTAGGAGGAGACTCTATGGGGGTGTGGGGACTGCACTTCCGGTCAGCAGAGGAAAAAGGATGCCACGCTAGGAGAAGACTCTATGGTGGGGGAACCGGATTTCTGGTCGGCTCCAGAATTGAACGGGGGGGCTTCCAGTTAGGACCTTTGTGGCTCTTTGAGTGTTTAACAGTGGTGTGTTTCTACCAGTTCGCCCCAGTTCAGGCGAACCGGTAGTGGCGATAGCGGGAGGCTCCGCCCACCCACCCAGAAGTCATCACAGATGCTCTGCACATATGCAGAAGATTCTGCACATGCACAGAAGCGTCCCACGTGTGCTCCCTGTTCCGAACCGGTAGCAGAAGTAAGCGGAACCCACCTCTGGTGTTTAAGGTTGCTGACCCCTGCTCTAGGGAGCTTTCCAAGAGTGTTCCTAATGCCACAAGTGAAAAACACAGGGCAGGTATTCCTTCTTCCCAAATTAATTTTCCGTGGCAAGAAAAAGAAAAGCAGGAAGAGAAAAATCATGGAAAGATTATACACAGAAAAGGAAGAGGGCCCTCCGCTCAAGAAGCAGTGCTGGGCCACACAGAATATTGGGGTTAATAAGAGCTTTTTGGCGGCCGTTTGGGAGATTTAATGTCCCTTCCTGGCTGGCTGGCTGGGGAATTCTGAGAGTTGAAGTCCAGAGCAGTGGTGAAATGTAAAATTTGTTACTACCGGTTCTGTGAGCGTGGCTTGGTGGCGGGGGGGAGGGGAGGGGGGGTAATGTGATTGGGTGGGCGTGGCCAACTTTTTTTTTTTTTTTTTACTTTTAAAAGCATTTTTTCTACAACCTCTTCGGCCGAAGAGGTTGTAAAAAAAATGCTTTTAAAAGGCTCTGACGATCCCAGCTGAGTTGCCTGATCATCAGAGGCTTTTTGTTTTTTACTTTTAAAAGCTTTTTTTTTTATTTTATTTTTTTTGCTTTTAAAAGAAAACAAAAGCCTCTGACGATCAGGCAACTCAGCTGGGATCGTCAGAGCCCTTTTAAAAGCATTTTTTTTACAACCTCTTTTCAAAAGCATTTTAAAAGCATTTTCAAAAAAATGCTTTTAAAAGGCTCTGACGATCCCAGCTGAGCCGTACGATCGTCAGAGGCTTTTTTTTTTTTACTTTTAAAAGCATTTTTTTCAGCCGAAGAGGTTGTAGAAATAATTGTAGAAAGCTGGGCATGGGGGAGGCGCAGAGATTTTTGCTACCAGTTCTCCAAACCACCCACCGCCATCGCTACCGGATCGGGCGATCCGGTCCGAACCAGGAATATTTCACCCCTGGTCCAGAGTTCTTAAAGTTGCCAAGATGGGACACTCATTGCTATAAAATCTTGTTCTGATTTTATTAAGAAAATCCGTGCAGAATCTATTAATCGAATACATTGTGCAGAAATCGCTACGGGAAGAGTAGATTACTTCTCTTTGATGTTCACAGCCGTTCTCCAGAAGTCGGCATTGCGACACAATTTGCTTTTGGAAATGTGCAGCTTTTGTTGTTTCTTAGGAATAAGCGTCATACGAACCCCATCGCCTGTTTTGATTTGGGCTTCCTGCGCTGCATGAATCAAGTTTGTAAAACCACAGCTTGAGGGCATAACGTGTTGTGCAAAACTAGCCCATTGTGACATGCAGAGTGAACCATAACTGTGCTGAATTGTACAACCAGAGACCTACTAGGCCAGTGGTGGTGAACCCTTTTACTAACCGAGTGCCGAACGGATAAACGCTTGGCGCCCTTTGTGTGTGCGCGTGCTATCCGCGCTAACATGCAGCTCCTCCCCTGTGCGCTGCACACGCAACTGCACCATCGGCACATGCAGTGGCTTTTGCGCAGCTTCCCCTGTGCGCTGTGTGCGCAATTGCACCATCTGCGCATGCATGTGGTTATTGCCCGCGCAATGCAGGTGCGCGAACGCCATCTATGCATGCATGTGCTAAACATAATATACTCACATGCATGCACAAATGCACATGTATGCGCAGGAGAGCTCCGAAGACCAGCTGGATCCCCTGAATTGCACACATGTGCACCGGAGGCCCGAACACCAGCTGGGGCGCATGCGCATGCACAGCTGCAGGTGAGTTGCGCGACAGCTCGTGTGCCAGGAAAGATGGCTCTGCGTGCCACATCGGGCACCTGTGCCATAGGTTCACTATCATAGGTACTAGGAACTAACGATATTGCAACGCGCTCTATATGGGGCTACCCTTGAAAAGTGTTCGGAGACTACAGTTGGTCCAGAACACAGCCACGCGAGCTGTCGTGGGTGCACCTAGGTACACCCACATTACACCAATTCTCCATGAACTGCACTGGCTCCCTATTGGTCTCCGGTCACAATTCAAGGTGTTATTATCTTTAAAGCCTTACATGGCTCAGGGCTAGGTTATCTTCGAGACCGTCTTCTACCGCATAACTCACAACGACCGGTAAGATCCCACAGAGTTGGTCTCCTCCGGGTCCCATCAGCTAAACAATGCCGGCTGGCGGGCCCGCGGGGGAGGGCCTTCTCTGTGGCTGCCTCAGCTCTCTGGAACCAGTTACCTCCTGAGGTCCAAACCATCCCTACCCTATTGGCCTTCTGAAAAGCGGTGAAGTCCTGGCTCTTCCGGCAGGCCTGGGGCCGTTGATCTCGCTCTTGTGATCTCACGAGATCTGCCCATGAATGGTGTGAATGAGTTTTTAATGTTTTTAATTTTCAAATGTTTTTTATAATGATTTTTAAATGCATTGTGAGCCGCCCTGAGTCTTCAGAGAGGGGTGGCATACAAATTGAATTAATAAATGAATGAATAAATAAGATATGGCATTTGGCACAGAAAGGGGACATCATCCACATCATTGCAAAACCTCCCGTCGGAACCTGGACCGGCCTGCTGAACGACAAAGTCGGCTCCTTCAAATTTATCTACGTCAGCATCATCCCTGAAGAGACCGTCTCGGCTATGAAGACCTGTTCGCGGCACCGGAGCAAAAGGCCCAAGCCCAAAACCTTGCAGGAACTGTTGCAACGGATGAACCTTGAGGTGGGAACATTGCCCCGACAATGACTCAGTAGGATGTCTAGTCCCCGTCCGTCCGTCCCCCACTTAGAAAGGAAACCAAGCTGGGTGACTTTGGGCAAGTTTGTTTCTCAGCCCCAACCCATTTCACAAGGGAAGGTGTGGTGGGGTGGGGTGAGGAGCCTTGGTAGTACAGGGGTTTAAGGCACCCTGTTATTAAGCTTATTAAGACCAGCTGCCTGCAATTACTGCAGGGTTCGAATCTCGCCAAGGCTCAAGGTTGACTCAGCCTTCCATCCTTTCTAAGGTAGGTGAAATGAGGACCCAGTTTGTGGGGGCAATAAGCTGACTTTGTATAAATGTACAAAAGGATGAAGGCTATTGCTGAGCACATTGTAAGCCGCCCTGAGTCTCCGGAGAAGGGCGGCATATAAATCAAATTAAAAAAAAAAAATGTAAGGTTGGAAGCATCAACAGAATAATAAGAGTTGGGAGGTCTTCTACTCCAACCTCCTGCTCAAGCAGGAAACTCTATACCATACCAGATAAATGGTTGTCCAATCTCTTCTTGAAAACCTCCAGTGTTGGGGCACCCACAACTTTTGGAGGCAAGTTGTTCCACTGATTAATTGTTCACACCGTCAGGAAATTTCTCCTTAGTTCTAGTTTGGTTCTCTCCTGGATTAGTTTCCACCCGTTGTTTCTTGTCCTGCCCTCAGGTGCTTTGGAGAACAGCTTGACTCCCTCTTCTTTGGGGCAGCCCCTGAGATATTGGAAGACTGCTCTCATGTCACCCCTAGTCCTTCTTTTCATTAAACTAGACATACCCATAGAATCTAATTGTTTTAATTAGGTTCTAATTAGGTAGTAGTATAGTAGACGATGCAGTGGCTCAGTGGCTAAAATGCTGAGCTTGTCGATTGAAAGGTCGGCAGTTCAGTGGTTCGAATCCCTGGCACCACGTAATGGGGTGAGCTCCCGTGACTTGTCCCAGATTCTGCCAACCTAGCAGTTCGAAAGCACGTAAAAAATGCAAGTAGAAAAATAGGGACCACCTTTGGTGGTAAGGTAACAGTGTTCCGTGCACCTTCGGCGTTGAGTCATGCTGGTCACATGACCACAGAGACGTCTTCAGACAGCGCTGGCTCTTCGGCTTTGAAACGGAGATGAGCACCGCCCTCTAAAGTCGGGAACGACTAGCACATATGTGCGAGGGGAATCTTTACCTTCACCTTATAAGACATGGTTCAGAAGGTGGTTTTAATCCCCGACATCTCTCGGTGAAACTATGGAAGATCCCGTTGAGAAGTCAGGGTGTGTGGTCATTCTCCACCAGCAAGGAGTAGAGGGTGATGGATGATAGACATGGTCTTGGCAAGTTGCTGAGGACGAGGGCGGCCAAGGCCAATACCTACACTCAGCAGAACTAAATGGGCCCTGGGTGTGACCTGGGTGAGGAAGTTTCCAGCAATTCTCCTGCATCAGAAAAGCATTACTCATCACCTTCAACACCCTGATGGCGTGCCTGGCCAGGACAATACTTTATAAACAGGAAATGGCATTGGTCCATTCGCTGAACATCTCTTGTAATATTAAAAGGGAACTGAAGGAGCGGCTGTTGGTCAGAGATTTGGACCACATCAGAGGTGGGTTTCAGCAGGTTCTGACCAATTCTGGAGAACCGGTAGCGGAAATTTTGAGTAGTTCGGAGAACCAGTAGTAAAAATTCTGACTGGACCTGCCCCCACCTATTCTCTGCCTCTGATCGGAAGGAAATGGGGATTTTGCAGTAACCTTCCCCTGGAGTGGGGTGGGAATGGAGATTTTACAGTATCCTTCCCCTGCCACGCCCACCAAGCCACACCCACCAAGCCATGCCACGCCCACCAAGCCACATCCATAGAACCGGTAGTAAAAAAATTTCAAACCCATCACTGGACCACATCCATGTTTTGAGCTCCCCACAGACTAAGAAAATGGGTGCCCGCCTAAGTTTCATTTTGGGACATGGCAGAAAACAGGAGAACAATATATTGATACCAGTGGTGGGTTTCGAAATTTTTTACTACCAGTTCTGTGGGCATGGCTTGGTGGGCATGGCAGGGGAAGGATACTATAAAATCTCCATTCCCACCCCAATCCAGGAGAAGGTTATTGCAAAATCCCCATTTCCTCCCGATCAGCTGGGACTCGGGAGGCAGAGAATAGATGGGGGTGGGCCCAGTCGGAATTTTTACTACCGGTTCTCCGAACTACTCAAAATTTCTGCTACCGGTTCTCCAGAACTGGTCAGAACCTGCTGAAACCCACCTCTGATTGATACCCATTTCTAGCTACTGCAATTAGCAGCAGAGTAAATATTTCATAAAAGAGGAAAAATATTTCTTTAGATGTACCTACTCACTAAATACAGGTGCTTCCCTTATGTTAGGTATTTTTTTCAAACCCTCTTCCTGAAAATATTAAGCTTTGTATCTTAAAAGATAAATAAGACCTAATCTCCATCTGAGGTTGATTAAACCACAATTATTATTTTTAAAAAACTGTCTTGGATCGTTAGAATCTATTTCTAATGCACATAACAAATGCGGTAGCATTTAGCACTCAATTATTACTCATTGTTTTGCTGCAGCCTCTCTGGATTTTTTGGATTTTTTTTAGTTACTGTATTTAAGAAGCAACTTTCTCCCACTCCTTTTGTCTGATACAGAACTAGAAATGTAAAAGTTCTAAACGCAACCAGAAAAACGGCCACTTCAAACATTTGGAGGCTAAAACGTATGAAAAACGGTTGCAGGAACTGGGTATGTCTAGTTTAAGGAAAAGAAGGACTGGGGGAGACATGATAGCAGTGTTCCAATATTTCAGGGGCTGCCACAAAGAAGAGGGAGTCAAGCTATTCTCCAAAGCACCTGAAGGCAGGACAAGAAGCAATGGGTGGAAACTAACCAAGGAGAGAAGCAACCTAGAACTAAGGAGAAATTTCCTGGCAGTTAGAACAATTAATCAGTGGAAAAACTTGCCTCCAGAAGTTGTGAATGCTCCAACACTGGAAGTTTTAAAGATGATGTTGGATAACCATTTGTCTGAAGTGGGGTAGGGTCTCCTGCTTAGGCGGGGGGTTGGACTAGATGACCTACAAGGTCCCTTCCAACTCTGTTAATCTGTTACTCTATTGTATGAAACAAAAGCAGATGATCTCAGGTTCTCCTTGATGGTGTGAATTGGGATAGGAAACTAAACTCGCAAGCAATGAGAATTGCGTTTAGCAATCTCTGGAGGACCACACCCAGTTCTAAATCCTTTACGTAGGAGTTAAGTCACTTCTAGGTTCTCCAAGAGCTGTAGTGGTTAGAACGCAGCATTGCAGGCTAACTCGGCTCACATTGGCTCACATTGCCAAGAGTTCGAGTCCCTCAATCCATGACTAGTTCAAGGTTGACTCAGCCTTTCCGTCCTTCTGAGGTTGGTCAAATGAAGAACCAGATTGTTGGGGGCAATAGGCTGACTCTGTAAACCGCTTAGAGAAAGCTGCAAAGCACTGTAAAGCGGTATATAAGTCTATGTGCTATTGCTATTCCTCTCTCCCTCCCTTCCTCTTAGTCCCTTTCTCCTTCTCCTCCCTGGTGGCGCAGTGGTTAGAATTAGAATTAGAATTAGAATAACAAGAGTTGGAAGGGACCTTGGAGGTCTTCTAGTCCAACCCCCTGCTTAGGCAGGAAACCCTACACCACTTCAGACAAATGGGTATCCAACACCTTCTTAAAAACTTCATGTGTTGGAGCACTTCTTTTCATTAAACTAGACATACCCAGTTCCTGCAACCGTTCTTCATATGTTTTAGCCTCCACTCCAGGTTAGATTGCAGTATTGTAGACGAAGCCAGGAGTTCAATCCTAACCGGCTCAGCCTCCCATCCTTCCCGAGGTCCGTCAAATGAGGACCCAGATTGTCGGGGGCAGTAGGCTGACTCTCTAAACTGCTTCGAGAGGGCTGTGAAGCGGGATAGAAGTCTAAGCATGATTGCTATTACAGGGAGAGAAATAAAAACCACCCCCTCAGGTAATCTATCCCAAGTATTACAACGGGACTGTGTCTCTTCCCCCATCCCCATTCAGGAGCACATCTCTACACTGTTACTAAATGGTTACCAGACCGTGGAGGACTTCAAGGAGCTGCAAGAGAATCACTTGAATGAATTGAACATCACTGACCCACAGCATCGCACCAAGCTGCTTACAGCCGCTGATCTACTGCTGGATTATGACAGTAAGTGCCCTTCTCCGCCCAAAAAAGAGCTTTCTTTCTTCCTTCCTCCATTGTCAGGCTCCTTTCTTGAAGCAAGGCCAATTCTGGGTGCAAAAGAAACCTCACCTTGAAATCCTACCACATTTGGTATTAAAGACCAACTGTGACACGAACCCGAATTGATCAATCGGATTAGACCGCGATGAGATAGAGCAGGGGTCAGTGGTGGGCTTCTACCGGTTCGCCCCGGTTCTGACAAACCGGTAGCGGTGGTGGGAGGCTCCGCCCACCCGCCCGGACATCATCATGGATGCTCCATGCATGCGCAGAAGTGCCATGCGCGAGCACGCACTCACAGTTCCGAACCGGTAGCGAAGGTAAGTGAAACCCACTACTGGCAGGGGTGTCAAACTCGATTTCATTGAGAGCAGTATCAGGGTTGTGGGTGGGGTGGACATGGCCAGGGTGGGCCTGGCCAGCTCGATGTTACTCATTGAAGCTCCATTTTTGGCCGCGACGGCCTCCTGTAGGCCTCTGTCAGTGAAAACGGAGCTTGGGAGGGCCGCTGTTTTGGCCCGCGATGGCCTCCTGCAACCCTCTGCCATGCGCCTTCCCAAGCTCCGTTTTCGTCGGCAGAGGGTTGCAGGAGGCCATCACAGTCCAAAACACAGCCGGGGAGGGCTGCACACGGCCCTCCCGAGCTCCCTTTTGCTGGCAGAGGCACCACAGGATGGTCCTTCACTGTTTTCAGGGTGAGCCCACGGGCCACATTTAAGCATCCTGTGGGCCAGATCCATCCCCCAGGCCTTGAGTTTGACACCCCTGGGACAGACTTCTTACAAATCTTGAAGTAGTAATTTCCTATGACATGTGATATAAGGCACGTGGGGGCTCAGTGGCTAAGATGCTGAGGTTGTTGATCGAAAGGTCGGCAGTTCAGCGGTTCGAATCCCTACTGCCGCATAACGGGATGAGCTCCCGTTACTTGTCCCAGCTTCTGCCAACCTAGCAGTTCGAAAGCACGTAAAAAATGCAAGGAGAAAAAATATGGACCACCTTTGGTGGGAAGGTAACAGCGCTCCGTGCGCCATTGGCATTTAGTCATGCTGGCCACATGACCATGGAGACGTCTTCGGACAGCGCTGGCTCTTTGGCTTTGAAACGGAGATGAGCACCATCCCCTAGAGTCAGGAACGACTAGCGCATATGTGTGCGAAGGAAACCTTTACCTTTAACTCATAACATGTGAACATGGCTCCATAGTAGGAAGCCACACCGTAGAATTTTTTGGCAGTCTCAACATTTACCGTGAGGCTCCTGCTCATCACAAGCCAGGTTACGGAAACTTCTGTTTCTCACCCAATCAATCAATCAGAATAGAACTGGAAGGGACCTCGGAGGTCTTCTAGTCCAGCCCCCTGCTCAAGCAGATCCTATGCCATTTCAGACAACTGTCCAGTCTCTTCTTAAAATAAAAAGAAACCTCCAGTGATGGAGCACCCATGACGACCCAGGAACAAATGAGGCCAGGCCAGACCATCCTTCTTCCCTTTCCAGGGTTTCCACTTTTGGCACCGTCCCAGCTCTTGTTCTTTTTAACAGCTGGCTTCTCTCTTCTCACACAGCGAGCAGCGAGGCCGAAGAGGAAGGAGGCATCTTGGAAGGTCAGCTCTTTCCCGGAGAGCTCAAAGAAGACATTCCCCGCGATTCCGGCTGTTTTGAAGGGGCGGAGACTTTGGACAGTGGGCGGGAAGAAGACGTGAAGCTCGAGGAGGGGCTGCCATCCCATTCTCTGACCAGTTCAGGCTGAAGTGAAGGCCCCACTATCTGCATCCTGAGCCCCGGTTGGTTGGTTAGTTAGTTGGTTGGCTGGCAAGCAAGAGCTTCCTTCCCCTGCCAAGATAACTCTTTAGGCCAAGTAAGAATACAGCTCCAACTCCTGGCTGATGATGAAGGAGAAGGCTCGGATCCAGAATCTGCACTGATTACTGCATCAAAGACACCGTTGCCAGACTGTTGCATGCCAGAGGCTCCCCTTTCAGAGTTTGGCCTGCGGCGAGGAGGCCCTATGTTGAGATCTCCAAGGTCCCTTCCAACTGTTACTATTACTTCCCAAGAAGCAACCGAACTCCACTCTGCCTCCGTGTGCCCAAGTCTCCTCTTTGGTGCAAAGAGTGTTTGCTTGCCACACCACCACCACCCCGACAGCTCTGCGCAATCCAAATACCGCCAGAAAGATGGACAAAGAACTTCTGAATGGGGCTGGGGCTTCTTCCATCCTTCCGTCGCTGAGGAGGAGTCCCCACTCTTGTAGCTGTAGTTGGGAAGGACAGGGGTGGGGGTGGGGGGACTCTGCTCTGTTTCTTTTCCAATAGATCTACTTTATTTGTAAACAGCTAGGGGTGTTTTGCAGCTTTAGGACAAGATTCTAATGAAGGACCGGTAGGTGCAATTTCTAAACTGGCTTACTGTATGAAATGGCAAGCACTATTCTCTGGGTACTGATCTTTCCAATAAAGCATATTTTTCTCTGGAGTGTAGATCTGACCCTGTATGTCTGGATTGTTTTTAGAAAAATTAAAAGGTAAAATATTCTGGAGGGAGGGAAGGAGAAAGAGAGAAAGAAAAAAGAAAGAGGGAGGGAGAAAAGAAAGGAGGAAAGAAAGAGAGAGAGAGAGAAAGGGAGGGAGGGAGAAAAGAAAAAAGGAGGGAGAAAGAAGGGAGGAAGAAAGAGGGAGGGAGGGAAGGAGAAAAGAAAAAGAAAGGAGGGAGGGAGGGAGAAAAGAAAGGAGGAAAGAAAGAAAGAGAGAAAGGGAGGGAGGGAGGGAGAAAAGAAAAAAGGAGGGAGGGAGAAAA